TGCGGTCATCGGCCCAAAGCCCGGCCCTCGGGCTGTCGGGTCGTCTGGGCCCTCGGGCCAAGGGCTCAAGTGCAGGGCTCTAATGGGCTGGTATGGTGGCGCCGCCTTGTGGTGTACTTCGGTATTGCGTCCAATGCTGCTGCCGCCGCCTTTTCGTCTGGACTCGAGCTTTTCACCGGCGCTGGGCTGGTCGAGTTTTCACTGTAGCTCCTCAATGACAACACTGCACACGGATTCTCGAGTACGGGCTCATTTATTGACCTTACAAGTGTCATAAATGTCTTTCAATGCCGTGAAAACTGCAAGACAAAATAAAATATGCAATTAAACACAACTTCTTGTCTACATTACAAAAACGAAACTTAAAATTAGCTACCTCGTGGCCGCCTGTCATGACGGAGGTCTTTAACTTAACTTGAAAACAATATGTGCGTTTCAGCTGTACACAACATATAATACAATTAAAAACATGAACGTAAACACACAATAAAATCGTACATGTACAAATAGATACCTGATACAGTTGCTTTCTCACTGTGAAAGTGGCTCTCGCTCTGATGTCTTTGAGCACGAGAGAGCGTCTGCCTGTCTACCTGAGGGCCCCTTGTAAACCCCAGTTCTCGCAGATTCTCGCGAGAACAAAATTACGAAATGAAACCGATGTATAAAAGTGTAATAACAAATACTTTCTTTTGGAGAAAACAAAAATATTACTATTTACAAATTTACAAAACAATTCTAAACCAAATAAATATAAAAGCAAAATAACTTTTATAAGAAACCTATATAACAACACTTACAGTATTTATTTATTTACTTGATTGGGACAACACACATTAATGAACAATCATATACAAGTTTGTGTAAGCCCTCAGTCGTACAGGGATTAGTCAAAGCAAAGGAAGGTTTCTCACCCATCATCTGTACTTCTTAGTAATTTTTCCCGACGTTTTGTCCTCAAACTAGCTGACTTCTTCAGGGAATGAATTCTCGGACCTCGCGTTGGAGATTTATAACCTATGGGTGTGGTTAGCCACACCCTAATCCTGATACTAACTCATAAACAATCTAAGGTCTGCTTGATGTAGAAGGGAGCAGATCTAACGACCCTAACTCCTTAGCATGTCACAGACCTATTGTCTGCTGGGATGCTCAAGTGGAGTGCAGGTCTCACCCCTCCTAACTCATTAGCATGTCACTGACCTTGTCAGTGTGAGTGGACTTTCTGAAGACCTCAGTCTCTAATTGTCCGTTCTCCAGTATGATGACCTTACAATCTAGAAAGGCGAGTTCACTCTCCTTAGCATCCTCGCGAGTGAAATTTATAAAAGGGTCCACCGAATTAATGTGTTCTGAAAATGGTTCCACTTCCTGTTTCTTTAACTTAACCCATGTATCGTCTACATATCGAAACCAATGGCTTGGCACTGTCCCTTGGTAAGAGACCAGGGCTTGTTCCTCCAGTTTCTCCATAGACAGATTGGCCACTATAGGAGAGACTGGGGAGCCCATCGCACAGCCATGAATCTGTCTAAAGAAGGTGCCTCTAAATTGGAAATACGTGGTGTTAAGACACATTTAAGTATTTCACAGATGTGGTCAGCTGTTAGTTTCGTTCTCTCCCCTAGTGTGGCGTCTTTCTGTAGGCTTTCTCTTACAGCCTCCACCGCCTCTGTAATAGGGACCGACGTAAAAAGCAATGTCACATCAAACGAGACCATTGTCTCATCTGTGTCAAACTGCAGGTGTTTGATTTTATTTACAAATTCTTTTGTGTTTTCTATGTGATGGTGGGTGTTACCCACCAAAGGAGCCAGAATGGTTTTGAGGTGTTTAGCCAGGTTGTAGGTGATAGAGTCTATGCTACATACAATAGGCCGAAGTGGAAAGTTTTGTTTGTGTATTTTTGGGAGTCCATAAATACTGGGGATGGTGTCTCCTGGGTAAAGTTTGTAATATAGTGGTTTTTCAATAATGCCCTCTTTCACCCACTCTAGTGGGCCACAGTCGGCTGTTCATCTCCACCTCAAGGCCTCCAACCACACGGTGGATGACACAGAGGTTAAAATTCTGGCTCGGGAGAAGAATTGGTTTGAGAGAGGGGTGAAAGAAGCCATTTTTGTGAGGAAACAAAAACCTTCTCTTAACAGAGAAGGAGGGTTAAGATTTGTTTTGCCTCGCATCTATGACGACATCCTAAAAACAACGCCCTAACTTGGGACAAGGTCAGTGACATGCTAATGAGTTAGGAGGGGTGAGACCTGCACTCCACTTGAGCATCCCAGCAGACAATAGGTCTGTGACATGCTAAGGAGTTAGGGTCGTTAGCCTCAACAGGGTCGTTAGATCTGCTCCCTTCTACATCAAGCAGACCTTAGATTGTTCATGAGTTAGTATCAGGATTAGGGTGTGGCTAACCACACCCATAGGTTATAAATCTCCAACGCACGGTCCGAGAATTCATTCCCTGAAGAAGTCTGCTAGTTTGAGGGCGAAACGTCGGGAAAACTTGCTAAGAAGTACAGATGATGGGTGAGAAACCTTCCTTTGCATATACAAGTTGTACACAAATTGTAAATGTGCCAGATTGTAGCAAAACTGCTAATTTAATTTTTGTCCAAATGTTGTTTTTCTGTGTGGGATCTCCACATCTCCTCTAGAGGACGCTCGGGTGCGGCCGGAGACCTGTCACTACTTTAGCTTTAATGTAGTTTAAGAGTGGGGGCAGGGCAAGACCATGAAGTGCTTTGTAAATAAGGCAACAGTTTTTAAAATTAATAAAGTTTTGAAAATTGAGCATTTTGTGTTTCTCCAGGATATTGCAGTGATGATATGACCAAGGCTTTTGATCCAGGATTTTAATAGACTTTTTGAAGAGGGTTTCTATGGATTGGATATGTGTTTGTCCAGTGAGTGACCAGGTTTTGATACAATAATCTATGTGTGAGAAAATCATTGCGTGTAGGAAATTTTTTTCTGAATTTATTGTCATAAAAGGCCTGATTTGTTTGAAGTTATGTAAATTGAACTTTATTCTATTAGCTGTGAGTTTAATGTTTTTTGAAGGAGAGAGTTGAGTGACACAGAGAAACTTGAACTCCTCAACAAGGTCAAGCTCAGTGTCTCCAAGGAACACGTTGGACAGACCCAGTTTAATAAAAAAATTTGTGAACATCATTGACACGGTTTTATTTTTATTTAATAGTAAATATGAGTTGGTGAGCCATGGCTGTATGTCTACCAGGGCTGCTGTGAGAGTAGATGATGCCTCCGCAGTTGTTTTAGCAGGAGTAAAAATTACACAATCATCTGCATACATTTGAATATGGATATTTTGACAAACATTTGGCAAGTCATTGATGTACACAGAAAAAAGTATAGGTCCCAATACAGAACCCTGTGGGACCCCTACAGGGCATTCTAGAAATGACGACACAGTGCCACCCACGTTCATACACTGTCTATCAGACAGGTAGGATGTGAACCAAGCAAGAGCGTCCTCGGCCAAGTTAAATTGGGTCAGTTTAGAGAGAAGGGCTTTATGGTCTACTGTATCAAAGATAAATAATCTAATGCAAAAAATAATGCACATTTCAGGGTGGCCTTTTATTGTGGACAGTCTATAGCACACCTGTGCACTAATCATGTCAGATCAGCATCTTGATGTGGCACAGCTGTGATGGGATGGATTATCTCAGCAAATCAGAAGTGCTCTCTATCACACATTTGGACAGCTTTGTGAACAATGTTTGAGAGAAATGGTAATATTGTGGAGTTGTTTCCGCTACACACCATTTAGCATACAGCATGGCGCTCTTCTCAGAACAGGATATGTCACAGGTTAAAAGTGTCTGTTGAGGGGGTGTGATCAATAAAAGGCAGAAGGGAATAAAAAAAGGGAATAAAATGTAATAAAATATTTACAAAAAGGTCCATTAAAAAAGATGATAAATGCCCAGAGTCACTCGTCCGTCCTCACTGGGCCGCAGTCCCGCCAGCCCCTCGCCGATCACGGGTCGTCACTGGGCACCCGCGGGGGAGAGCAGGCACATCCGGTCTTCAGTGGGCCTAGCCCGGGTGCGCACGCGCCTGCATGCGCTATCAATGCGCGCCCCCTCACCGGTGCCGCTCTCCCCGCTGGCCTCAGTCCCCCGTGGTCTCTGGCTGGCGGTGCTCGTCCTGTGGCCCGGTCCGGTCTCGTCCTCCTCCTCCTCTCGTGCTGTCTCTGTCTGTCTCTTTCTCTTCCTCTGTCGTGCTGCAGTGCCCGGCCCCAATTAAAAGGTCTTGATGATTAAAAACAGGTGTGGGTGATTAGGGGAAGTGTCCAAGGAACTGATTAAAATGCATACAATAAAAATATAAAAACACAGCAAAACACACCACAAAAATAAAAGCAGTTAAAAGTCCTTGTTAAAAGTTCACTTTCTCACAGATACATCAAAACTCCCACAGGACTGTACTGTCAAATAGTGGAATAACTTGGGAAAACTCTCAACCCGTATACAACATTGTGGGTCACCACATAGGCCCCCCCAGAGGTCCCCAAGAATGCAATACAGGTACCAACATAAACAAGTGCAAACATTTTCAGAGATAAAAAGGTGCAAACAGAGTGGTCATGCAACAAAAATTAGACAAACAAAGGTAAACGTTTTGGGGGGCGGACCAGGCGGCCGCAGCGGCCACGCCTAACAAGCGGAAGTTTGGTTTAAAGCCCGATGGCCGTCATGGTTAATGAATACGTACTCGGTAGTTGGCAATGCTTTGGGCACTTAGGACGCAAGACGGCGGTATGTGGGCCAAAGCCTCTGCTATACCCCGTGACGCAGCACGATGGGAAACCACTGACCACGGAGTCGCAGCGTCCGGAAGAAACTCCCCTGCAACACGCAGAGGCCGGCCATAAACCAGCTCTGCGGATGAGGCCTGCAGATCCTCTTTAGGTGCGGAGCGAAGACCCAGCATAACCCAAGGGAGGCGGTTGACCCAGTCACTTCCCGTCAGACTGGCTTTGAGAGCAGCTTTCCATTGCTTTGTGGGTTGTATGCTGTGGTCCGGTGGACCTTCAATCCCAGGCCTTTGGCAACCGCAGTCCAAAGCTCTGAGGTGAGCTGCGGACCTCGGTCTGAGGAGAGGTCGGACGGCGTGCCAAAACAGCTCACCCAAGATGCTATAAACGCCCGGGCTACCTCAGCCGATGTTGTTGAAGACAGAGGTATGGCTTCGGGCCACCGTGTGGTTCTGTCCACCATGGTGAGGAGGTAGGAGCAACCACGCGAGGGTGGAAAGGGGCCTACCAGGTCCACATTGACATGGTCGAAACGCCTCTCCAGCACCACAAAGGGTGCCAAAGGAGCATTTGTGTGGCGTGTGACCTTGTCGCGCTGGCATGCTATACAAGAGGCAGCCCAAGCCCTGACAGCTTTGCAAAGATCAGGCCAGACGAACTTGGCCCCCACCAGCTTGGCATAGGCCTTCACCCCCGGGTGAGAAAGGCTATGGATGGTGTTGAAAACCCTGCGCCTCCAGGTCTCAGGCACCAAAGTGCGAGGTTTGCCCATTGAGACGTCGCAGAGCAGCGTAGCATTGGCATCCTCAAACACTACCTCTTGCACACGGAGAGCTGTGGGGGCTGTTCGGTAACTTTGGACCTCAGGGTCCGCGACTTGGTCCGCTGCCATCTCTGCGTAGTCCAGGCCCAGGTGGACAGACCCTGCCACTGCCCTAGAAAGGCAGTCCGCGACCACATTCTCTCTCCCCGCCACGTGTTGAATGTCGGTGGTGTACTCCGAGGTCGCAGACAGTTGACGTTGTTGCCGACCCGACCACGGCTCTGTTGACTTGGCCATGGCAAATGTCAGCGGCTTGTGGTCAACGAACGCCGTAAACTGTCGCCCCTCCAACAAAAAACGGAAATGACGCGTGGCAAGGAATAGACCCTCCCTGTCGAAAGTGCTATATTTACTCTCATTGTCGCGGAGCTTCTTGCCGCGTAATCCGAGGCGTCTGTTGTGAGAGCCACTGGGGCTGTGGCAGACGGATGCCCCAGCAAGGTGGCGTTGGCAAGCGCAGCTTTGGTAGCCTCAAACGCCCCTGTCATCTCTGCGGACCAGTCCACACTGGTCCGCAGGGGCGTCACGGTGGCTGAGTGGATAGCACTCTCGTCTCTCAGCAAGAAGGTCCTGGGTTCGAATCCCGATCGGACCAGGGCCTTTCTGAGTGGAGTTTGCATGTTCTCCCCGTGTCTGCGTAGGTTTCCTCCGGGTACTCCGGTTTCCCCTACCACTAAAAATATGTACAATAGTTCTGGCATGCGCCTCCCGTACTGGCGACCCCGCTCCCATCTCTGTGTGGAGTGAAATGCCCAAAATAAACCGCTTTGAGACTCAGATCTGCAGTGAAAAGGCGGTATATAAATAAAGATTACTACTAATAAAGATTACTACTACACGGTCTGTAGGTCCTTTACCCCGTAAAGCTTCATACAGCAACAGCATGAGGTGAGCACCGCGAGGGAGATGCCGGTTATAGAAATTCACCATCCCCAAGAACTCCTGCAGGGGCTTCACGGTGGTAGGGCGTGGGAAATCAATGATTGCCTCCACCTTTACGGGGAGTAGCACCACCCCCTGTGGAGTGACGTGGTGGCCGAGGAAGGTGATGGACTCTTTAAGACGCTCAAACAGCAAACGGAGGTGCGTAAGGTGGACCTCTGCCGACGCCCTGGCTACCAGGATGTCATCAAGGTAAACGAACAAAAACGGCCATCAGGCGCTGAAACGTCTGCGCCGCCTCGTTGAGGCCGAATGGCATCCTTAAAAATTAGAACAGACCAAAGGGTGTGTCTTGGGCACGTCCTGCGGGTTAACTGGCAGCCTTCGAACCATATGCAATGGGGAGGCCCAATTGCTTTTAGAACGCCAAACTATTCCGAGCCGCTCCATGGTGGTAAACTCCTCTTTAGCAATCGCAAGCTTGGCCGAGTCCAGGCGCCAAGCTCGAGCGTAGACTGGGGAGCCCACTGTGGTAATGTGGTGTTCCACGCCATTTTTAGCCTCTGCAGACAAGAACATGGCCGTGGTGAGTTCAGAAAAACTCTGCAAGCAGGCGCTGGTAAGGGTCCCCTGTGGCAAACGTGTTTGACAGGAGTGCTCCCACCCCTCCAAGTGTGCAGGGGTATGAAGCGAAAGAGAGAGCATCAATAAGGCGGCAGTCTGTTATATCCACCAGGAGCCTGAATGCAGAGAGGAAATCCGATCCAAGCAGTGGTGTAGACACAGCAGCACTTACAAAATCTCAGCAAACACACTGAAACACACCTCTACACACCTCGTACCGTACGTGCATATAGGCGTGCCGTTGGCGGCGTCCATGCAGGGGCCGTATCCGTCAGCCAGGGTGTCCGCGGGCCACTGCTTCGCCTTCACTCCAAACCTGCTGTGATAATAGCACAGACCGTCCTCATGCTGACGGCGGGCCGCCACTGCCACAGTCTCAGGGGTGTCTTCATGAAACTGGCGCGAAACAACAGCGTTCGGATGGGTGGGGAGCAGAGCATGCACAAACTGCTGCCGATAAGCCAAAAAAACCCTGTCTGCCTCAGTTGCCAGAGCACGATAGTTTTTAGAGGAGGAGAGAGGGGAACTGGCCAAAGCAGTACGCACGGGCGCTGGGAGCTGACGTAGAAATATGTGAGTGAAAAGAAATGCGGGGTCTGCCGTGCCCATCACCGCCAGCATTTTCTCCATCAACTCAGATGGTTTACTGTCACCCAAGCCATTTAGTGACAATAAACGGCCCGCCTGTTCGAGTTCAGAGAATTTGTAAAGTCCCAGCAAAAACGTTTTAAGAGCAGCATATTTGTCCTCGGCAGGTGGATCCTCCAACAGCATCATTGCCCTCGCGGCCGTTGATACATCCAATGCTGCCACAACATAACAATATTTCGTGAAATCCTGTGCTATCCCTTTCAGCTGGAATTGGGCTTCGATGTGTTAAAAACCACGGTCGCGGGTTATGCTGCCAAAACTCGGGCAACTTGACGGCTGCCGCATGGAGTTCACTGGGAGGAGCAGCTTCCACGTAAGCCGGTACGGGTGCAGCCAGAGGAACGCTTGCATCGTCGTTTGGTATGGTGGTAGTGAAACGTACTCACGTCGGAGTCACCAGTGTGGAGTTGGGAAAAGTATGAGACAGGAGACGGTGTCTTGCGACGTCAACTTAGCTCTCCACTATTTATTTGTTTCAGCTATACACCATTTAGCATACAGCATGGCACTCTACTCAGAACAGGATACATCAAAACTCCCGCAGAACTGTACTGCCACCTTGTGGAATAACTTGGGGAAACTCTCAACCCGTATACAACATTGTGGGTCACCACAATATTGTTTATTTGGAATGAATTCTAGATCTTTAAGTCAATCTCATGGAAAACGGGAGCAAAAACAAAAGTGTTGCGTTTATATTATTGTTGAGTATAAATTACGTTCTCTAGCTTTAATGGAGCAGATGGTTCACCATATCTTTGTGTCTTCAGAGTGAAAGCATCTGTGGACCTTGGATACCAGATGATGGAAAAATCTTCACACACACTATCTCCACCACAGGGAAAATGACTCAAACCAACTGGACGTCCAAGGTGCACACTCACCGCAGTTTCATGATTTGAAAGCACTTTCACACACACATTTTTGAATGACATGAATGTTATACCAATGTAGGTGATTAAGAAGACTTTTGAATTTAAATTTTGACTTAAGCCGGGCCTGCAAGAATTATTGTAGTTGCGATTAGCAAATGTCTAGCACTAGTCTAAAATGTTACAAAAGGAAAGCTATGGGTAAACTAGCAAAAAGTAGTACAAAGTTGTGATAAAGGACTTTTGGACCTGGATCCTAATTCTTGTTACTCTACTGATAGATTTTGTATTTTTTTTAACACTGAACCAATTTGATCTCACCAAAGTAAATGAGATCAAAACTACGGCTTCAGCTTGAGGGCCCTCACACAGATAAAATTCTAACATGGATGTTTTTCATTTGTTTGCAGGTGGTTCTGTCCCACCCGGGCCTCACGTCTCTGATAGCGCACATACGAGTGGGTCGCATGCAGGTGGCGCTAGAGTCCAAGAGCTCTGTCCTGCCAACTGTCAGTATGTGAAGAAACACATGTATAGATTAAAGCATCACAGTATTGCAAACTACATTTTAGAGAAGACATTTCATACATAATTACAAAATATGACACTATTTATATTGTCATTTCATGTTTTAGAATGTAAAATACTAACTTCAGTTGAAAATACATTGTGAATCAAGTATCAAGGGTAACAAATCAAATCTTTATTTGTAGAGCAAATTTAACATAGCCTTGGCTTACCAAAGTGCTGTACAGACAGCGAGAAAAATAAATAAATAATAAGAAACACAAAAAACCCCCCAGAAATTTAGGTTATCAGCCTGCCCTATCTCTATCCCATGCTAGGATTAGGGTTTGTTCTGTTTAGATCCATCCATCCATCCATTTTCTACCCTTTAATCCATTTCTGGGTCAGGGGGGTGGCAGTCAGAGATGCCACCCAAGTCTCATAGCACCAGCCCCTCACTGACCCTCTGCAGGTGGTGAGTCCACAGGAGGACGGCTGCTCTCTGAGTGTGAGCATAGCCTTGATCTTTCAGTGGGGGCTTTGGGCAAAGTGGGGTTAAGTGTCTTGCCCAAGGACACAACGACAGCAGTCATCAGTGGGAGTCGGTGGAGAAGGTGCAGAGGTGGGAATTGAACCCACGACCTTCTGGGCTGTTTAGATCCAACATTCAAAATTATGTTTCGGTGCTTGTCAGAAGAGGTAATTATTTTGTTTTTCTTTTTAGTCTGTGGTGATGGCGTTTGTGAGGACTCTGAGCGCTGCCGCACCTGTCCTGCGGACTGTGGGGAGTGTCCCATGAGCGTAGGCACCAAAGTGAGCATCTCTCTGTTGCTGGGGACCCTGTGCACCTGCTGCACGCTGCTCTGCACTGTAAGACACACACAAAAATAACACATGAGTAATACTAGTTATAACATTAACACTTCAGAGATGATTATTACCATATGTCTGTTTGTTATTACATGTGTTCCTTTCCAGTGGCTTTGGTATCAGAAACAAAAGCTTCTTTGGGACGAGAGTTGGATTATCGACTTCTCCAAAATTGAACAAGGTAAAGTCACCTTGGCCCTTATGTCCAGGTGTGGTTAATGGGCTTTTTCAACCTGCTTTCTATACTTTTCATTTCATTTCATTTTCATTCAATCCTTTCATGAAAATGCTGTTGCACTTATCAGCTTCATAATATAATATACATACATTATACATTTGCATGATACATTTCTATGTTTGGAAGGGAGCAAAGAGGAAGAAAAAAATTCTTATGTTTATCTGTCCCTTTTTCTACAACATTGAAACAATGTGATGGTCTGACCTCATTACCCACCCTCACACGTGCAAACCATTACTTTGAATGGATATGATATATTTATGATATTTAAAGTAGCATTATGTAATGTCAAGTCATCATTAAATGGCCACAATATTTCAGTAGTTCAACCGAGATATTTGAAAAATTAGTTATACGACCCGTAAAAGTTGTTATTGTTTTCATTTCGATGTCCCACCCTCCGTCGTTTCACCAGTCAGAAAGTCCGAGATCCGGGTTGCCAGAACTCCCTGCAGCTAGCTAATCTCAGTGGTAAAATAACATGTGGCCGCAGAACTAAAAAAGGTCTTGTTATGACTCTCAAATCATTAATGACAAAACAAAGACTAAAACGAGGATTTATATCGGGACGCCTTTGAAAAATTGAGACAGCGGATAAAAACTTTTTGTGTGATGCAAAACTTGCTGCTTTGAGTGCGTTCTTCATTGACAGTTAAAGTACTTGCCTTGATTTCATTATTATTGTATGCAATGGTGGTCTAATGGTCAAGCCATAGCGCTGTCACCCCAGGGACCCGGGTTCCAGTTTGGGAGGAGTCTGTTTGATTATATAATGTCACCTTCTATGTGAATGCTCAAAAAACGATTAAAGACAAAAGTCAAGATGTTTTTTGCAGATTACAGCTTAATTGTAAAAATAATCATTTGAGACTACATGTGCCCCAATTAAAATAATGTTTGTCTCTTTTTGATGTGGGACTTATATGTCTAAAAAATAGAAAAATGAAATTGGAGGAACAGGAAACCCTGGTGTTGATACGCTGAAGAAATATGTTCCAACATCAATTCTTCCCACTCCTATTTTGGACATCAATTGCTTATTTATTTTGCATAATTTATGCATAATTACATTGCTTTTATTTTTTTCATCTCAAATGTCCAAATAAAAAATAAATAAAAAACATTCATTCAACATTAGCACGGCTATCATGGCAATGTGAATAGAGACAGACAAACAACTGATTAATGAATTCCTTGTGTTTGCTGCTGGATTTGGTGTGTATCTGGCAACCTGAGTCAGGGAGAGTGGGAGAGGACTACAAAATATTGACTGTGATTGCGGTACCACTTTTGGCCAGATTTTTACATAATGTTCCTGTAATTAATTATGTATAGTATACATACACACACACATATATATATATATATATATATATATAAGAGAAGGATGCAGCACATAACATCAGTGCACAATGGCTGGTGTCCATCACAGAGGCAGACATCCGAGAAAGAGTCTCAGGTATGAAAAACTGGACAGCACCTGGCCCTAATATGGTCCATGCCTACTGGCTAAGGACACTCCCATCACTCCATGAGTGCCTAGCAGCACAAATGAACCAGCTGCTGAGAGATGGGACTCACCCAGAATGGCTAACCGAAGGGCGAACGGTCCTGATCATGAAGGACCCTGTCAAGGGTGCAGTCCCCTCCAACTACCGGCCAATAACCTGTCTCTCCACAACATGGAAGCTCATGTCAGGCATCATTGCGGCTAAGATAAGTGGGCATATGGAACAATTCATGAGCACAGCACAGAAGGGCATTGGTAGAGACACCAGAGGAGCCAAACACCAGCTCCTGGTTGACAGAACAGTCGCCCTAGACTGCCGGTCACGACACACCAACCTGTGCACATCCTGGATTGATTACCAGAAAGCCTACGAGGTATTTACCAAGGAGATGCTCTGTCCCCACTACTGTTCTGCATAGGCCTGAACCCTCTAAGCCAAGTAATTGACCAGACTGGCTATGGATACCGCCTCAGGAACGGAGCAAAGATCAGTCACCTCCTCTACATGGATGACATCAAGTTGTACGCCAAGAGCGAGAGAGACATCGACTCTCTGATCCAAACAACCAGGATCTACAGCCATGACATCGGGATGTCATTTGGACTCGAGAAATGTAGCAGGATGGTGACTCGGAGAGGCAAGGTAGTCCACACAGAAGGGATCTCACTCCCAGAGGGAACAATAGCAGACGTTGAGGACAGTTACAAGTATCTCAGTATACCACAGGCAAATGGCAACCTCGAACAGGTGACGAGGAAAGCGGCAACTGCCAAATACCTCCAGCGAGTAAGGCAGGTCCTAAGAAGCCGGCTCAATGTCAAGAACAAGGCCCGAGCAATTAACAGCTACGCCCTGCCAGTGATCAGATACCCTGCAGGAATAATCAGGTGGCCAAAGGAAGAGATTCAGACCACGGATGTTAAAACTCGAAAGCTCCTTACCATGCATGGTGGGTTCCATCCCAAATCCAGCACCCTGAGACTTTACGTAAGCCGTAAAGAAGGAGGCCAAGGACTAGTGAGTGTGAGAGCCACTGTCCAGGACGAAACATCCAAGCTCCATAACTACATCATGGACGGAAGATGTACTCAGTGAATGTCTCAAGCAGTGGCGAGATGAGGAGGTGCTGGAGGAGAGCCCATCATGGGAGAACAAGCCCCTACACGGCATGTACCACCGGAGCATAACAGAAGTCCTACCAATGGCTAGAAAGGGCTGGCCTACAGGACACAGAGGCACTCATCATGGCTGCACAGGAACAGGCCCTTAGCACCAGAGCGATAGAGGCCCAGATATACCACCTGAGACGATCCAACACATAACTGCAGGGTGCAAGATGCTGGCAGGGAAGGCCTACATGGAACGCCATATCCAAGTGGCTGGCATAGTGTACAGAAACATCTGTGCAGAGTATGGGCTGGAAACTCCAAGGTCTAAATGGGAAACTCCTCCAAAAGTGGTGGAGAATGAGTGTGCAAAAATCCTGTGGGACTTCCAGATACAGGCCGACCGAATGGTAATGGCGAACCAACCTGACATTGTGGTGGTGGACAAAGGGCAGAGGACAGCCGTGGTGGTGGACGTGGCAATTCCAAGCGATGGTAACATCCGGAAAAAGGAACATGAAAAGCTTGAGAAATAGCCGAGCTTAGAGAGGGAGGTGAGTGGACAATTTTTTTTTTTTATAAAACAATTGTTCACTTAACTTTAGCCCTCCGCGGGCGGTTATCCCTCTCTAAGCTCGGGTCCTCGGAGCTTGAGGGTTCTGCGCAGTATCTTTGCTGTTCCTAGCACTGCACATTTCTGGACCGAGATGTCCGAGGTTATTCCAGGGATCCGCTGTAACCACTCTTCCAGCTTCGGGGTCACTGCCCCGAGTGCACCGATCACCACGGGCACTACTGCCACCTTTACCCTCCAGGCCCTCTCCAGCTCCTCTCTGAGCCCTTGGTATTTCTCAACCTCGTGTTCTTTTTTCCTGATGTTACCATCGCTTGAAATTGCCACGTCTACCACCACGGCTGTCTTCTGCCCTTTGTCTACCACCACGATGTCAGGTTGGTTCACAATTACCATTCGGTCGATCTGGAAGTCCCAGAGGATCTTCGCACGCTTATTCTCCACCACCTTTGGAGGAGTTTCCCACTTAGACCTTGGAGTTTCCAGCCCATACTCTGCACAGAAGTTTCTGTGCACTATGCCAGCCACTTGGTTATGGCGTTCCATGTAGGCCTTCCCTGCCAGCATCTTGCACCCTGCAGTTATGTGTTGGATGTTCTCAGGTGCCTCTATCGCTCTGGTGCTCAGGGCCTGCTCCTGTGCAGCCATGATGAGTGCCTCTGTGCTGTCCTGTAGACCAGCCCTTTCTAGCCATAGGTAGGACTTCTTGAGATCAGCCACTTCTGTTATGCTCCGGTGGCACATGCCGTGTAATAATAATAATAATTTTATATAGCGCTTTTTTGGACACTCAAAGACGCTTTACATGTCATTATTCATTCACTCCATACACGGTGGTGATAAACTACTACTGTAGCCACAGCTGCCCTGGGGCACACTGACAGAAGCGAGGCAACCAGTATGTGCCATCGGCCCCTCCGACCACCACCAACCAATCACTGACTGAGACATACATAAGGAGTACCTTCATATATATATATCCATCCCCTTTTGTAATGTATTTTGTTTTATACATTAACTTAAATCTAAACATGTTTTGACAAGCTTTCAACTTGTTTTCTTGTGAATTCCACATGTTTACACCTGCAACAGAAATGTTTAAAGGCACACCGCGGACTTTGTGACCTAAAGAGTTGACACATATGAGTTATTTTATATGAATACTTGGGCCAATATACAGCGCTTGACACTTGCAATGCTCCGAGCGGGGCTGCCCTCTTGAAATACCGCCCATGTAAGTTTCGAGCAGACGGACCGTCTGCCACCAGGTCACGTGACTTGGAAGAAAGACTTGCTTTACGGCTACAGGCGCTGATATACTCATGGAGCTAAGGCTTTTGCTACTCATTTTTCACCTGCTCGACTCCTGGTCATGGCTGAGGCAAGGAAAAATTTTAAACCTTCGGAGGAGGCTAAAAAGAGGAAACGCGAAAGGGATCGTGCTGTAAGCTGCATGTCTGTATGAGCGCTGCTCTTCACCTGGTTCCTGGATGTCATCGACTGCAAAGATGTCATTCCACGCAGCACGAGCTAGACGCAGAACTCCCTCATCCAGGATATAGAAGTCCATGTGTGGTAGATTACTAATGCAGCGGTCTGGAGGCTGACCACAGCAGAGTCTCTCAATATCTGTAGGCATGTCTCTACAGTTTGAACACACACACCAGTGCATGCTGTCTGAATACACACTCAAAAGACACCGGCTGACTGTTTGTTGACTTTTGCGACAGTGCTGAGTTGCTTGTGGCCACTAGGGGCGCTAAACGTGAAAGTTGCAGGTCTAGCGCCCCTAGTGGCCAAGAGTTACACGGTGTGCCTTTAAGTAGTTCTTGCTACTTTGTGCTTGAAATCATATCTCCTCCTAAAATCACATGTCCTCTGAAGTAAAAACTAAAACATGTTGTACATCTTCTGGTAGAGTTTTGATTCTTGCTTTAAACATAACAAGTGGTGTTTTAATAACCTTGATTAGGAATAGTGGAGTTGTCTGATCTCTGTATCCAGCTTTATTGATACTTCTAAGGGCTTTTTTCTATAACATAAATATAGGTGTTATGTTATGTGTTTGCCCAAACTTCTATACAGTTACTAAAATAAGGTAAAAGCATTGAACAATATAGCACACCCAAAATGTGTTTAGCTTTATTTAAGGCAAATATTAGACAATATAAGACAAATATTTACAAGAGTCTCAAAAATGATGGAATACATGAGTCTCTGGGTCTACATCATTGTCAAAATCATATGCTCCATGTTCCAAAAGGCCAAAATTAGAAGAAAAATATCAAATGAGTCAGTCATTTGAAATGTAAATTTTGATCGTTTTACAGAATCAAAAGTGTTGTTAGGTTTTTTCTTCATTTGTACTGATCCAAATCTTTGAGTTGTCTTACCCCAACCACAGTGGCTGGTTCTGGAGGTCCATTCAGCCAAATGAACACTGTCCCATTCCTTGTCCAGAAGGCTTGGATTTTATCTTTTATCTTTTCCAGTACCTTACGAGTCCACGCAATTTCAGATTTGTTTTGGATTAAGTGCGCATTTAGGGTAATCCCAGTCCCTTTAAGATTTGTAGCTTATTCAGCATCTCCACCTGGTGCTTCCGGTTCAAAAATCTCAACATGATTGCAGGCTTCTTCTTTTTGTCCTTGGATTTTGGTTATTTTTGATTGCTTCATGGCTTCAGGCAGGGAGAGACAGTGGGTCTTTATGGGTCTTAATGGACTGCTTTTAGCTGGGATAGGGAAGAGCATTTGATGGAGCAAAATAAAGGATGATCTTGGAAAAAAGCTGGGAGTCAGACTAGTACTTGAAATGGAGAATTACCTTTCATCAGGGCAATTCCACTGATGTCTCTTCTTCTGTATGGGTGAATCTGTTGTTGTGTGTGTGATGTGTGTTTCAGAACAGCATGGGCGTATGACCATGGGCAGTGGGCTCTCTGCTCCGCTCATGAACAGTGAGAGTAACAGCAGCTGTATGACAGCTCTGAGCTCATGCACCGGCGGAAAGAGGAGCACCTTCACACGCACTGGAATCTAGTACGTATACTCACACACTGGGGACTAGTATGTGCAGTAGGGCAAACAAGTATTTAGTCAGCCACCAATTGTGCAAGTCCTCCCACTTCAAACAATAAGAGATGTCTGCATAATTTGTTTGGAATCATTGTAATACTGAAAGACCCTTTGCAGAAAGAAAGCCCCAAAGCTCAATATATTCACCCCCTTGCTTCACAGTAGGTATGGTGTTCTTTAGATGCAGTGCCAGACATGTCCCCTTGCTTGAGTCAATACATGTCCAGGGCCATCTTCATATTGCCTTCATATAATGAAGGCAATTCAATATATAGTGAATGACAATATGAAGCCTTCTTGATAATTGCCTTCACTAGTATTGACTCCTTGCATGTGACGTCCCGGCCACGCCCACTCTCCATGACAGACAGCAGAAGTCTAACTGCGAGCCTACGGACACCTGACCAAAACAACCTGTTTCAGCACATTACAGCCAAAACTGTGACATTTTGCAGTGCGGTTGATTATACTAACAGGCACTTTTTACAAGATAAAGCAATCACAAGTTTGTATTTATTTTATTTCCATTAATTTGGAGGACAATGACACACGTCAAACGTGTCTCTTACTACTGTCCTGTATGTGCGCTGCAACATTGACATTTTTATCTTTTAAGTCAATTGCGTGTTTCACTATTTTCCTCTCCGTCAGTACGTATCATGTTTGGCTGTAGACAGAAAAGCCACAGAAAAGTGGACTATTGCTAATGCTACCAGCAAAATGTACATATAAATCTGCTCCAGTGTAAGGGGATGTATTGGTAACGATAATGATAAAGATCATGTAGGGTGAATTCGGGCTAAAATAGACATTTTATTTTTTTTTATCGATAAAATAAAATAATAATAATTGACTGGGGGGAGAAGGTACGGGTCAACATCCAGTTAGGCAATCCTTAACTTCTCCAAATACCACTCTTTGTGAGCCCTGACCTGATGTCCTACTTCCACCTAAAACGTAATCGAACATGTGCTTGAAGCAGCCACTTCTCGATTTAAGAGAAGAAGCTCAGTTTTTAAGAGTTGTAGTCCGTTTTGCTCTCGCAGCAATGCTAGTTTCCAATACTTCCGCCGTAAGCTCATTCACAATCACGTGACTGGATGACGTTGATGCATCTGGTCAATATCAAGAAGTGAGGTATCGCAACCTATTCAGTGGCGGCTGGTGGAATTTTCTACTGGGGGGGCTATGAATATGATGACTAGATATAAATGCACCACAGAATTTGACACAGTCTATTATTTTTGATAGGATGTGCCTATTCTTGTCAACCTCCTCATTGTGCTTTCTGATCCCTACCCTGTAGCTTTCATCCAGCTGGGATGAAATATTTATCTTCCCAAACATAGCTAATTTGAGGGCATTTTGCATGTGGATACCAGTCTGCTCATGCTTCTTTGCCTTTTCTAAAAAGTGCTTCAGATCAGTCATACCTGTCTTGATCCATGCTGGGTCAGATCCTGATGTTTGAAACAAGAGGCATGGAAAGCAAAATAAAGCATTAGCCTCGCTACATGCTGCTAGCCAAGATTTGGCGCTGAACCAGGTCCTGGAAAAAGTACGAGTGTACCGTCTCCCCCTGTCGCTGGACTGCTGACTAATGGTAATATTTGGCTGATCAGGTCCAAGCTCTTTAACCTCAACCTTCTCCTGGTATGATCTTCTCTCAAACGGTATTGTTTTGAGTGATCTAACTGAATTATTCTTTTTCTCGTTCTCCATTTTGCGTCTCTTTACGTTTGTCTCAAACTCCCACAGCTTGACCTGTCAATCACTGTAAACGGACGTCACAGACAGTGACAGTACAGGTCGCGGGCGATCCCGCCCCCTCAGGGCGCACTTCTCCTGCGCCCCTAAATCGTCTTATCTCTTGCATTGAAGAGGAGCTACTGCGCATGTACAACTTTTAACGAGAGTCCATAGACGGCTCAGGGCGCAATCTTTTGCGCCCTGAGGCGGAAATACGTCCTCAGTCCGACACAGACAACGCTGATGAGCTTAATCAATCCAACTCAGCATAAACTATAAAGTATTTCTTCCACATCTGAAATAAAACACACATAAATTTCGAAATATTTTAATGTTATTATTTTTTTTAACGTTTTATTCAAGGTAACATGGCAAGTTGTGAGTGGTGGGGCGGCGGCCTAGCGCCCTCTATTGGCCGGCCGCCACTGAACCTATTACTCGACACATGATTCAAAGCGTCGAGGTGATTAATTTGCTCTAACACGGTGTTCCCCAACCTCTTTGAGCTGCGGCACAACTTTTACATTTAAAACAATCACATGTCCCACCACCAGCCGAAACTGATGCGAACTGATGTAACTCCAGCCTTTATAAACAAAACAAGTAATTCTCATCAATGTATATTTCAATTTGGAGAGACGAGAAACAAGAAGCTTTGAGTATTTTATTGGGAGGAGGTTTGGCGCCCTAGGCCCCGGTGCGGCCTTCGGATCGGAGGGCCTCCATGCGAAGGAGCGAGCCAATCCCCCGGGACCTAGGCACTGGTGGCGGCATTTGCAGCGGGAAGCAGATTGAAGGCAGAATGAAGGCAGGGTGAAGAGGAGGAGGAGGGGAGGCGGTGGTTGCAGGCTTCGAGAAGGCCGAGAATGGGAGTTCCTCCGCTTTTAAGCAGCTTGCCTGGCTGGACCGGTGATTGGAAGGGGGCGTTTGCCGTGCGATAGGCTGGGGATGAGAACCGGCCTGGAGGGGTTACCTTTGGCTGACGTCTACCAAATTGAACTTTCGCTGGCTGCATTTCAATTTGGAGAGACGAGAAACAAGAAGCTTTGAGTATTTTATTGGGAGGAGGTTTGGCGCCCTAGGCCCCGGTGCGGCCTTCGGATCGGAGGGCCTCCATGCGAAGGAGCGAGCCAATCCCCAAAAAAGGTTGTGAGTTGATGGAGTTTTGCAGCCTGGTTTGGAGGGGACAGACGTCGAGACTACTCTATGCTGTGACCGCTATCGCTATATACTGTGACCGCTATCGCTATATACTGTGACCGCTATCGCTATATACTGTGACCGCTATCGCTATATACTGTGACCGCTATCGCTATATACTGTGACCGCTATCGCTATATACTGTGACCGCTATCGCTATATGCTGACGAGTCGCGACCATCGCGCGCTAACCATTTTTTGCTATATACTGTGACCGCTAACCATTTTTTGCTATATACTGTGACCGCTAACCATTTTTTGCTATATACTGTGACCGCTATCGCTATATGCTGTGACCGCTATCGCTATATACTGTGACCGCTATCGCTATATACTGTGACCGCTATCACTATATGCTGTGACCGCTATCTACTGTGACCAAACTTGCGGATCCTCAGCTGCTGCCGCCACCAGGAAGTTTAGCGAGCATTTTAAGAAGATGCCAAAAGCCGCTGGGCTGCCGGGATGGAAGAAGTGTCAGGCCTGATGATGACCAGCGACCCAGCTGCTGGAGGGCGGAATAGGGGAGCCCAAGGGACGCGGCGCGCGTGGCGGCGCCTATCCGAAGGGAGTGGGCTGTGTAGAGATGGGGAGACATGTTACAAAGCAGCAGTACGGACCTGAGTTGGGCTCTGAACCAGTTGGAGGACATAGGGAGGTTATCGGGGGTAAGAAATAATGGTCCGTTGAGATCTCCTTTCCGAGAGCGGAGGCGAGTGTACTGCATCATGGATCTATAGGGACAGGGAGAAGTGTCAGACCGGGCTATGACTATATTGCAAGCGCCTTTGCGTTTGGATGCTTGAGGTGGAGGTTGAAGTAGTCGGGATAATATGACGGTCAGAGAGGCAATGTCTCGGGATGCATTTAAAGGTGGCGTGAGAGTTTGTGAATTCGCTTATGCGTAAGAAGCCCATTTTCATGTAGGATGCAGCGGAGGAGAGAAGGTGAAGAGACGGAGGGACTAGACCAGGGCGAGGGATTCCGTGCAGGGGATCTGGCATGGCGATGGATTGGCAGAAGGGCAGAGGCGTCAGAACTCCTGGAATTTAAAGCGAGAGAGAGAGTCAGCAAGACAGTTAGGTGACGAGGGACGTGACGAGCAGTGATGATAAAATGTTCAGGACTGAGAGCCATGTGATGCGTCTAAGGAGGGTGTGATTTGGGGAGAGGATGAACAACCTCTGTTAATTATTTTAATGACGTCGAGGTTGTCGCACGTCACGGAAATCCTTTCCTATGCCACGTATGGTTCCGCAGCACGCAGGCTACGGTCATGGGATATATCTCGTGGAGCGCGGAGGAGATGCTTCGAGGGAAAGCGTCGGGCCGGGGCCCGGCGAACCACTGGTCCTGGAAAAACCCCAAAACCCACGGACGGGGCTGCGTCCGTGAAGAACCGCGGGGCATCTGAGACAGGATGATGTCACTGTAAAAAAAAAAGAGATACACCGTCCCGGCGGCTCTGCAGACGGGACCGGAACGCCAGGTCGGAGCGGCGCCCCGCGTCCGGGCAGACAGCATCGTTGAGGGAGGAGACGGAGCCGGCGAGGGAGAGGAGTCTGGAATAAAAGAACGACCTTGGGGAATGATACGGACGGCATAATGAAGATGCCCGAGGAGGGAGAGCAAGGACCCCTCGAAGTGACGGGAAGGCCAAGGCAGACCGGGAGAAACGCGGATGCGTTCGAGCTCGTCCAGCGGGAGGGAGGCCTCCATGGCGTGTGTGTCGAGGCGGATGCCGAGAAACTCCAGAGCGTTGGCGGGGCCTGTGGTCTTTCCGGAGTGGAGGAATCCGAGGGCAGAGAAGGCGGGCCTGAGCTTGCGGAGAGAGCCCCCGGAGCAGTCTGAGGGTGGGTTGACTACGAGGGAATTATCGGGGAAATGCAGGCAGAGGGGAGCCGCGCGTAATTAAGCAGAAACGGACACGGCGCCTCCGAGAGATTGTTGTACAGAGAGGGACTACTCCGGCAGACAAAGGTGAGGCGCACTGCGAAGAAGAACTCCGACGCCACTTGACCCCTGAACAGTGGTCGGGGTGGTCGGGGTGGATGGCAGCAGCTTGAACGCGTCCGGGATGACGGCCTTGGAGAGCCAGGAGCCGGGGCCGAAAGTCTTTATCAGCCTGATCGCGTGGTCCATGGTAGCGGAATGCAGGGAGAAGGGCGCTGGAGGGAAGGGGCTGTGGATGCTCGGGCGGGCCCGGAGCGGGGACAGGAAAGGACGAGTATGAGACGCTTCTTCCTGGAGTGCTTGCGGGTGGCGATGCCCATCGGGTTAGAGCGAGACGGAGAGAAGGGGCCGATGACGTAGCCCACGGACACCTCCCGCGCCCGAGCCGCGTGCCAACTTGGGGCTCACGGAGAGCCGGGAAGAGGTTGCGGGACACGAGACGCCGAGGGACCTAAACAGAGCTTGCAGTCTAATGTGAGGGATTTAAATAGAGCTTGCAGTCCAAGTGAGGTATTAAAACTGAGCCCGCAGTCCAAGTGAGGCGTCTAACGGAGAGCCTGCAGTTCGGTGCGAGGGAGTTAAACGACCTGTAGTCCGAGGTGAGGGATTAAACTGAGAGCTTGTAGTCCAGGTGAGGGATTCAACATAGCCCGCAGTCCTAAAAGAGGGATTTATAACTGAGAGCTTGAAGTCCGAGTGAGGGATTAAACCGAGAGCTGCAGTCCAGTGTGAGGGATTTAACAGTTGTTACGGTCCAAGTGAGGGATTAACTGAACCCGCAGTCCAAGTGAGGAGTTTAACCGAAAGCCTATAGTCCAGTGTGAGGGATCCAACAGAGCCTGCAGTTTATTTAATTTATTTATTTATGTATTTATTTATTTATTTATTTATTTATATTTATTCATATTTATATTTATTTATATTTATTTATTCTTATATATAAGCGTTCCAGATATGAGCAGAACCATATTTTTCTTCTTTTCCTGTCCAGAGGGATTCAAACGGGGCTTGCAGTCCAAAGAGAGGGATTTAAACAGAGCCTGCAGGCCAAAGTGAGGGATTAAAACTGAGCACGCAGTCCAATGTGAGGGATTAAACTGAGATCTTGCAGTCCAATGTGAGGAATAACGGAGCTTGCAGTCAGAGTGAAGGATTTAACGGAGCTTGGTTAAGAGAGCCTGCAGAACATGCGAGGGCTTTAAAATGAAGCTGGCACACCAATGCACGGGGCCAACTGAGCCTGTAGTACAATGCGAGGGGAATAAACCGTCCGCAGGTCTCATACTTACCCACAACGCCAGAAGACAGGGACAACACGACGGGACCACGCCGTACCGGCACAAGGAGGCAGGGATGCGCACGGCTCCCACCGCACCGGTCCAGACCGGCCGTATGCAGCAGCAGGCCGCGACGAGACGAGCAGCGGCGGACCCGCAGAAAGAGCCCGCAAAGGAGGAGAGCGGCAAAGACCCACGGACCACAGCACGAGACCCGCAGCAGGTGCAGCCACAGGAGGAGCAGACCACACGCAGCAAGACAGAGGACAGCAGGGACACATGCAACGAGTAAGCGTGAGTAGACAAAAGCGATTCCTCCAGAACGGTTCTATGCAGGCTTCGAGAAGGCCGAGAATGGGAGTTCCTCCGCTTTTAAGCAGCTTGCCTGGCTGGACCGGTGATTGGAAGGGGGCGTTTGCCGTGCGATAGGCTGGGGATGAGAACCGGCCTGGAGGGGTTACCTTTGGCTGACGTCTACCAAATTGAACTTTCGCTGGCTGCATATTATAGATAACCAGAGAAGCGCACAGCAGTAGTTCTAATCTTCTAATAATATTTTTCCCACATTATTTTAACAAAGTAGGTGATATTGGATCATTTCCCAAGGCACACCGAATAACATCTCGAGGCACAGTAACGTACCACGGCACACTGGTTGAAAAACACTGCTCTAACGCCATCATGTGGACAAAAATGTAAAACACTCACAATAAACGCAAAAAATTGGTCTAATTGATTACGTTGAATGAATTGATTACAGTAGCTCAGTTGGTAGAGCACTGGTCTTTGGACCTAATGGTCGTGGGTTCAATCCCACCTCGACCCATGTCAACTGCTCCCACTGATGTCTGCTGTCGTTGTGTCCCTGGGCAAGACACTTAACCCCAATGTGCCTGAAATCCCCGCTGAAAGACCAAGGCCGCATCTGTGTTGAAGGAGCAGCCATCTTCCCGTGGACCCACCACCTGCAGGAGGATCAGCGAGGGACTGGTGCTATGTGAATTGGGTGGCAGTATCTGATTGCCACCCCCCTGACCCAGAAATGGAATAAAGGGATGTAAATGAAATGAAATGAAATGATTACGTTGGTGTTTTTTCTCTATGTTTTTAGAGGTAATTAAATGAACATCTTGACTCATGTCTATGTTTTACCTTTTGAACAAATGTTTTCACTACCATTTGGCATTTTTGATTTATTTGAATGAATTAAGCCTTTATTAGAAATGGCAGATTTCCAGATTATTTCAGTACCTCTTTCCTTTCTAGCTCAAGCATATCCATAAACTAATATAAATAATGGCTATATAATATACAGGTAAAAAAAATATGTTTTGTTTCACTTTTTTATTTTCCGGCACTGTGTTATGTTATTTATGTTCTCTAAAACGCTTTCAGGGAAAGGGAAGTGCATTCCCTTGCTTTAAAAACAAACAAAAAAGAGTACCGGCACCTCTATTGAGCCACTTAACTCATTGACTGCCAGCCTATTTCCAAACAGGTACTCCCATATTGCCAGCCGTTTCTGATGATTTTTACTGAATTTTCAAGACCCACAGAATATTGTGTACTATGACTATCTGAAATCCAAAACCAGATTCTGAAAGAATGGACTGTCTACTTTCAACAGCAAAAATAATTTTGTTTCTAGCTTGTTTCGTTCCCTTGTAATCCCCAGTTGAGTAGAGGTAAGTTTTATTGATATCACCAGAAAGCTGAGAAAAAAGAAGCACAAGTGCATCTAGCTGTTTTCAAACCATTCAAGCAATGCTGCCATCTGCTGGCTCAATAAAATATTGCCTCAAGCCTTACATATTTGATTCAATAGACATCTGGGAACGCGAAAATAGAGGGAAACGCAATTGACGTGTTAACATGTCAATGGCAGTTAATGTTTAAAAGAACTACAGGGTACATGAAACAAAGAACTTTTGGATAAAAGCTCAACTCGTCCTGTTTGTCGGTGAAAGAGTGCCGAGTTGCCCTTTTATTTAATATGGAGTTTCCTCATCTTCTGTTTCGCACCAAAAAAATATGGAAATAGTCCAAAATAGATGAAAAGATGTTCCCATCACTGTAAAAATTCCACCAAAAAAAAAAAAATTGGTTTTAAGATTTTGTCATACTATATTTTTCAATTCATTTTTACTTTGAGAAAGAAATCTCCCATTAGCCACATACAAATTTGATATTTATGATATGATATTATGATTTTTTATTATTTAAAAACATCTTTCTTTCTACATCCAAGTGTGGACAACATTGAACAATATGTCATACATGTGTTGCTGCGGTTTATGATAACTTATCAGCGGTCATCTTCAGATATTTCCATGTTTTTGTCCAGTGATGGCCGAACTGTGGCGATAAAGAAAATCCACACCAAGACGTTCTCTTTGTCCAAAACCATCAGACAGGAAGTGAAGCAAGTCAGGTAAAAGACAATCCTCCATTATTTATTCACTATGGATGTAAGAGCACTGTGACGAATGGTGAAATGGAAGACTATAGATTTCTTCTGGGAATTTGCGAAGCAACAAGGAATCCAGGTGTGGTGGCTGGAGGAGAGAGAGATGTGACTCTTGTGAATAGTCCATGCTTTGATTGTTGGCAGGGAGCTGGACCATCCAAACCTGTGTAAGTTCATTGGAGGCTGTCTGGAGGCTCCGAACGTGGCCATTGTGACGGAGTACTGCCCCAAAGGCAGTCTGAACGACGTTCTGCTCAATGACGAGATCCCCCTTAACTGGGGCTTCAGGTACGGACAGTATTAGACTTTCCATAAACTTTGTTCAAAATATGCATCTTGGGTTTGCACTGTGACCTGATGGAGTGTTTCCCCTCAGGTTTTCGTTTGCGATGGACATTGCCAGAGGAATGTCATACCTGCATCAGCATCGGCTCTGCCACGGACGCCTCAAATCCCATAACTGCGTGTTGGATGACCGCTGGGTCTGCAAAATCACAGGTGACATCAGCTTTCCAGTCTAGGTATTTTTGTTTTTGGGTCACAAATATGTACAGTAAGTGATTGACAGATCGATCGCAGCGTCTGCAGCGATGCGGTTGCTGTATCAGACTGTTGTGGTGAAAAGAGAGCAGCATCTGTATGCAAAGCGCTCAATTTACTGGTCAGTCACCTATGGTCAGAAGCTTTCTGAAGTCCTGGCCTCAATGGGAAAAAAATGCAGAACGAAAGTGGCGGGTGGGCTTTGATGCTAACAGAGTTAAGCTAGCTGCTTTTTGTGTAAAGTTCTTCTCCAAGAATACAGCCCTGCAGCATCTCTGTGTCCAGAGACCTTCCTGTTTTATAACAGAATTATGTGTTCACAGAGGTGCGCCATGAGTTTATTTTATTATTATTAAACAGTACTAACGCATTGGCAAACACGTTAGTAGCAGTTGTTTACATTCCCGGTAGCATGAGAACTCAGGCTGGAGGCATATGTTCACAAGCACTGTGTCACCCGTTTTCAATCCTGGTTTAGTCCTGGTTTAGCTCCTGGTTTGGCTGTTTGCAAGTATTTTAGTCTGTTCGATAGACCGCTGATGCCCCCGTGACCACTTTGCGGCTCTCTGATTGGTCGCTGCACGTGCGACCGGTGGAAAAAAATTCAGCAATGTTCATCTCCTGCGTGCGTCAAGTTTCCGCTCCTGCGCCTCCGCGCAGCCCGTGCTTGTGTGCCACAATGCAGACGCAGTTCCACGTTCGAACCAGTGGGGGCGGGTCCCAGCTCAAAAGTGGCCAAAATGACGTGCGCTGACATGCTTGCAATACCACCCCGGGCCGTTGGGGGTGGACCCAGAAGTAGAATTAGCCAATGCTAACATATAGCATTGGCAGACCTCTCAAAAACGTCTTTACAAGATGGACCAAAAGTTGGCTCTTGGCCCAAAGCTTCGTTCCACATGTGTGTCAATGCTGAGGGGGGTGGATTTTTTTGGTCCACTCTAGTTTACTCGCTGGGAATTTTTGAAGTCTCTCGTTCAAATGAATGGAGCTGCGCCGGCTGACGCATGCACAGATGCGTTTTTTCACAATTTTCTTGTGGGCAGGACCACTCGCGGCCATCTTGGATTGCTCCATGAAAGCACTTTTCATGGCCAACTCCTATGAACGGCGGAGATAGGCGTGACTCTGTACATTAATATATACAGTCTATGGTTCGAACTGACGTCACCATTGACTATGCATTGAAAGTTGCCGCACCGCATGATCAGGTCTGAACGCCCCTTTAGAGATCGCGGGATGAGCTCTGTCACACGGGTTGAACATCGAGTTTCTCCTCCAAGTTTAGAAAAAACAAATTAAGTTATGTCAGTAGGTGAAAAACCAAAGAAGGACCCAAAATGCAGGACTGCAAATACAAAAATAAAAAGGACTATAGCAGTGCGAGTTTTTTCAGTCCTAGTGCAGGTCATTAGTGACTTAAAGTGACTTATTTTACAGTCTGACAGCGGTGGGGATGAAAGAGGTGGTAGCGCTCCTTCTTGCACTGAGGGTGTCTCATTCCACTGAGAGAGCTCCTCAGCTCCTCTACAGTCCTGTGCAGTGGGTGGGAGGTGTTGTCCATGATGGAGGTGACTTTGACTTGCACTAGTCAAAGTCACCTCCATGTCAAAGCATGACTTTGACATGATCACTAGGTTAAATCCTCCAGCTCTGGTCCTGACCAAGGTGAGCATCAACATCTGGAGATGGGTTCCCGGGCGCTGTTACTACGGCGACCACTACTCCTGACGTAAGCCTTTGCGGTATCAGGATGGGTCAAATGCAGAGGATTGAATTGCCCTACAGGGATTAATAAAGTGCACCTTTACCTTTACCTTTACCCTCCTGTCCCTCACCTCCTCCACAGAGTCCAGGGGGCAACCCAGAGCAGAGCTGGCCCTCCTGACCAGCTTGTTCTGTCTATTCTTGTCCCGCTCTGTGCTTCCCGGGGCCCAGCACACGGCAGAGTAGTGTATGGCAGAAGCTACCACGTGGTAGGCCTCTGCTCAGAGCTTTTTATGACTCTGTGCACAGAGTCATAAAAAGCTCTGAGCAGAGGCCTGCTCACTCCGAAGGACCTCAGCCTCCTCAGAAGGTGGAGGCAACTTTGGCCCTTCTTGTACAGGGCGTTGGTGTTACGGGACCAGTCCACACTGCAAAAACACACCTGCGAACTGCAAAAACACACTGCAAAAACGAACACTGCAAAAACACATCTGCCGCACTGCCAAAACACAAACTGTAAAAACTCACACTGCCAAAAAAATACACTGCAAAAGCACCTGTCGCACTGCAAAAATACACAGCGAAAAAAAACACACACTGCAAAAACACATTACAAAAACACACACAATGGAAAAACACACACTGCAAAAACACACCGTACAAAAACACACACTGTAAAAACGCACACTGGAAAAGCACAAACGCTGGAAAAACACACACTGCAAAAACACACTGCAAACACACTAGCTGCAAAAACACACTTGTCGCACTGTAAAAATACACATAATACAAAAACACTGCAAAAACGCACACACTGGAAAAACACACACTGCAAAAACATACATTGCAAAAACATACTTGTCGCACTGCAAAAACACAACGTACAAAAACACACACTGCAAAAACCCACACTGCAAAAAACACACTGCAAAAACACACTTGTCGCACTGCAAAAATACACACAATGCAAAAACACACTGTAAAAAAACACACACTATAAAAACACACACTGCAAAAACCCACACTGCAAAAACACACACTGTACAAAAACACACTTGTCGCACTGCAAAAATACACACAATGCTAAAACACACCGTACAAAAACACACACACTGCAAAAACACACACCCTGGAAAAACACACATTGCAAAAACACACTGTAAAAACATGTACTGTCAAAAAAATACACTGCAAAAACACACACTGCAAAAACACACACTGCCAAAATAAATCTGTCGCACTTCCAAACAAACACTGTAAAAACTTACACTGCCAAAAAAAATACACTGCAAAAACACCCAGCAAAAAAAACACACACTGCAAAAACACACAGCGCAAAAACACACACACTGCAAAAACCGTACGAAAACACACACTGCATAACACACAGCACAAAAACATACACTGCAAAAACACACCTGCCGCACTGCTAAATCACACAATGCAAAAACACACCTGCTGCACTGCTAACTCACATACTGCAAAAACAGACAGCACAAAAACACACACACACACACACACACTGTAAAAACACACACTGTGTAAAAACACAGCACAAAAACATACACGGTGCTAAAACACACCGTACAAAAACACATACTGTGTAAAAACCAGTGGGGGAGGGTCCCAGCTCAAAAGTGGCCAAAATGACGTGCGCTGACATGCTTGCAATACCACCCCGGGCCGATGGGGGTGGACCCAGAAGTAGAATTAGCCAATGCTAACATATAGCATTGGCAGACCTCTCAAAAACGTCTTTACAAGATGGACCAAAAGTTGGCTCTTGGCCCAAAGCTCCGTTCCACATGTGTGTCAATGCTGAGGGGGGTGGATTTTTTTGGTCCACTCTAGTTTACTTGCTGTGAATTTTTGAAGTCTCTCGTTCAAATGAATGGAGCTGCGCCGGCTGACGCATGCGCAGATGCGTGGGCGGGACCACTCGCGGCCATTTTGGATTGCTCCAGTAGAGCACATTTTTTGGCCCATTAGTTAGAACGGCAGAGATAAGCGTGACTCTGTCCGTTAATATATACAGTCTATGGTAAAAACACAGCACAAAAACATACACCGTACAAAAACACACACTGCAAAAACAACACTGAAAAAGCATACACTGCAAAAACACAGAGCACAAAACACACACACTGCAAAACCACACAGAGCACACAAGCACACTCTGGAGAAACATACACTGCAAAAACACAAGCACAAAAAATACACTGCAAAAATGCCCCTGCCACACTTCTAAATCACACATTAGAAAAGCGCACATTGCAAAAACCCATCTGCCGCACATCAAAAACACACCCTGCCAAAAAATCCACTGCAAAAACACATCTGCCGCACATCAAAAACACACACTGCTAAAATACACATGGCAAAAACACATCGGCCGCACTTCATAAACACACTAAACAAAAAACACCCTCAGTAAAATATCTTTCTATCTATCGATATCCAAATGGACAAACTAAAATATATCTCTAATCTCTCACACAAACGTTTGGGACATTTTCTTTTTCTTACACACAATATAAAGCATTTATTTGATTCTTAGTTTTTTCCTGCTTATTCAGGCTGTACTTTGCTCATGTCAGTGTAGAATATGAGCTGAAAGTATAGCAAATATGCAATATATATTTTTGAAAATTTAATTACCCTATACAAATATTATTGTATAGTATGTTGACAACGCAAAATCATCAATATTTTAAACCAATATTCACTATGAAAAAAATTGTGGATGTGACAGAATGAAAAGTGAGGTTAGAGTGTTCGAAGAAAATAGTATTGTTCCTCGGATCAATCAGACTGACCAGATCTGAGAGGACATGGTCAGTCTCATCTGAACTAAGTTGTTGCTGTAGATACGCATGCACAGTACAACAAATAAACGTTGCTTATTGGCTCCAACTTCAGAGCGTGTACGTTGACTGGAATATCAGAATCAGAATCATTTTTATTTCCACGTAAGTAACAGGAAGTCACAGACTTGGAAATTGCTTTGGCTCAGTGCAACAGTCAGAAAGAGATAATAAAAAATAAAGAATAAAAAACACTTCAAGGAATAAATTTAAATTTAAAATAGAGTTACAGATACTATTTACAATACACAAGTGCACACAATGTAAGGTGACAGCAGTACAGTGAAGTAAAGTGACGTATGATGGGCAGTAAAGTGACTTTATAAAGGGCGGGGGGACAGGTTAAGAAGTGTTCAAGAGTCCAACAGCAGAGGGGAAGAATATCTTACACTTATCTGCACCACCATGGAGCTGATTGTGTATGGGCGGCACGGGGGAGAATGAGCCAAGTATGAACCGTCCTGTCGTAATAATGGACAGTGACTGATCCAAAGATCCCCCAGGACCCCCAATATCAAAAAGGACTTTGCAATTAGATTAGATTACTTTAGATTTTGACCAAAACACCAAAATATAAATGCTTTAAGTTTTGAAAAGCAGTGCATGTCTAAAAAATACAATGAAATGTGTGCACAATTACTTTCATTTCTAATCTAAATATTGTGTGCCTGAGGGTTAGGGTACATATAAAGCAATAAACCAAGAACCAAAGAAAAGTTTTTATTTTATGTAAGAAGAGTGATAGCTCTACTGCAGTGCGATAGGTCTATTTGCCTTATATTTTAATTTTTCTGTATGAAATCTCCCATTTGATTCTGTAGTTGTACCCTGTTTTGGGCCTTGATATTACTGGCTTAGGATGCAAATTTGTCAGTCAGAAAGGGGGTACATTTTTAAAAATTCATATGTAGCAAACTTCAAAATCTTTTTAGGCCCAAGCTCCGAACGGGCCCCCGAACATGCATGAAAAGTTGTAAAATTTTGCCCAAAAATCAGACCTGGCAAAAAATTTGATATTTTGGTGTTTATTTTTATGGGACTCAAAAAATGCCTGAACAGCGCCACCTACAACAGCCAAAATAATACCCCTATGGGAGTTTTGGAGATCAAGTTTGTTGTAGAGCAATGAAATTCGGTACACATGTTCCACAAGAAAAAATGTTATTGTGGCCCCGCCCTCTGACAAACAGGAAGCCCATGAATTTCACTGCAAAATGGAAAAATGAACAGCAATAGTTTTCATACATGTCGGCCCTTTCCGAGCCCCAAACGCGGAAAGGGCCTATTGTTTTTGCTCGAGAGATGTCAAATTCTGCACTTTGAGCCTTAATTTGACCCCATGAACATGCATAAAAACTCACCATATTCTTTTATTAAAATTTTTTTCTGGCAACAAATGAACTATTTTGATTTGATAGTTCAACTCTTGAGTTTGGGTAAACTGAAAGTGTAAAACATGAAATTGCTGTATTAGCGCCCCCTACAGACTGAGTCCAGTGTTACATGGGGAGGATAAGGTTTTCAATAGAGACACACAATCATTGATCATAGACATTCAAAATACAGTGTTGCTCCCATCAGGGCTTTAGGAAGATGGTGTGTCACATAGTCATCCAATGGAGACTGTAAATATATGGACACACTCACAGATTGTATGTGGAAACAGGAGCACATGTATAAAGCAACTCGTGCATGCGGTGGCTCGCGCAGTGCAGTGGCTCACGCAGTGCAGTGGCTCACGCAGTGCAGTGGCTCGCACGGTTTGGCGAGTCCCGGGCTGCTGGAAGTCGCGTGGGGGCGGCGAGTTGCGCGGGGGCGGGGAGTTGCGCGGGGGCGGGGAGTCGCGCGGTTAGTGAGGTTGCGCGTTGTGGCGAGGGCCGTTTGACGCCGCTTGCGGCTTTAATTTTTATTTTTTTTCCTCCTTGCACATTTTTAGGTTGATATAACAATGTATGTGGTTCCAGCACCTGCAGATTTATAATGACATTTTGCAGAAAAAAAATGTTTTTTAACTCCTAAGACCAAATAGAGTGGGCCCTATCAACTCGTTATGGGCCAAAGTGAAAGACAACATAAAATAATAATTCTAAAAACCCAGCAAAACATATTACGTTGAGTTAAGTTTCAGTTTCTCTTCCTGTTTACACTCTGCTACTGTAGCTAACAACTCGAGTACGGATCGCGTTGTTTAGACACATCTCACACTTTCACATTGCTCTGATGCAAAGTGCAGCAGTTCAGTGGGTAACATTCACCTTCTGTGCATGTGACCGCAGCTATAGAATCTCATAGATTTATAGGACTGACATCAAATATTGGTAACACTTTACATTACGGGCCGGTAAGTCCATGGTACTTACAGTGGTACTTCTAGGTACTTACAGTGGTACTTCTAGGTACTTACAGTGGTACTTACGGTGGTACTTACGGTGGTACTTACGGTGGTACTTACAGGGGTACTTACGGTGGTACTTATGGTGGTACTTACGGTGGTACTTACAGTGGTACTTACAGTGGTACTTACAGTGGTACTTACAGTGGTACTTCTAGGTACTTACAGTGGTACTTACGGTGGTACTTACGGTGGTACTTACGGTGGTACTTACGGTGGTACTTACGGTGGTACTTACAGGGGTACTTACGGTGGTACTTACGGTGGTACTTACGGTGGTACTTACAGTGGTACTTACAGTGGTACTTACAGTGGTACTTACAGTGGTACTTACAGTGGTACTTCTAGGTACTTCTAGGTACTTACAGTGGTACTTCTAGGTACTTACAGTGGTACTTACGGTGGTACTTACGGTGGTACTTACGGTGGTACTTACGGTGGTACTTACGGTGGTACTTACGGTGGTACTTACGGTGGTACTTACAGTGGTACTTACAGTGGTACTTACGGTGGTACTTACGGTGGTACTTACGGTGGTACTTACGGTGGTACTTACGGTGGTACTTACGGTGGTACTTACAGGGGTACTTACGGTGGTACTTACGGTGGTACTTACGGTGGTACTTACAGTGGTACTTACAGTGGTACTTACAGTGGTACTTACAGTGGTACTTCTAGGTACTTACAGTGGTACTTCTAGGTACTTACAGTGGTACTTACGGTGGTACTTACGGTGGTACTTACGGTGGTACTTACGGTGGTACTTACGGTGGTACTTACGGTGGTACTTACGGTGGTACTTACGGTGGTACTTACAGGGGTGCTTACGGTGGTACTTACGGTGGTACTTACGGTGGTACTTACAGTGGTACTTACAGTGGTACTTACAGTGGTACTTACAGTGGTACTTCTAGGTACTTCTAGGTACTTACAGTGGTACTTCTAGTGGTACTTCTAGGTACTTATTGTGGTACTTACAGTGGTACTTCTAGGTACTTACAGTGGTACTTAGAGGTACTTATTGTGGTACTTACAGTGGTACTTCTAGGTACTTATTGTGATAATTCTAGATACAGCTGTAACTTAGTAATTCAAGGACACTACAGTATTATTCCTATGTAGTAAATGTGGTACTTCTACATACATACATACAGAGGTCATTTGTAGGATTGTTTGACTATAAAACATAAAACAACATTATGTAAAACAAACGTCTTTATTAATATGGAATAAGTAGCACAGAAAGGACAGTATAAATACATTTAATGCATATTTCAAAACAAGTTTCAAGGACAAGGGAAACACTGCAAGCACTAGGTACCCAACCCAAGTAACAAGAATTACACATTACCAGGTACTTACCAGCCAAGTACAAGGTACTTACCAGCAAGTACCAGGTACTTACCAGCAAGTACCAGGTACTTAACAGCAAGTACCAGGTACTTAACAGCAAGTACCAGGTACTTACCAGCAAGTACCAGGTACTTACCAGCAAGTACCAGGTACTTACCATAGGGACTGGCCCATAATAAGACAAAGGACTTTAACATAAGTACCAGTGATAACACCAGTAATTATATAGTAAGTACCAGGTACTTACCATAGGAACTGGCCCATAATAAGACAAAGGACTTACCCATAAGTACTAGTGATACCAGTAATTATATAGTATACCATGTACTTACCAGCAAGTACCATGTACTTACCAGCAAGTACCAGGTACTTACCAGCCAAGTACCAGGTACTTACCAGCAAGTACCAGGTACTTACCAGCAAGTACCAGGTACTTACCAGCAAGTACCAGGTACTTACCAGCAAGTACCAGGTACTTACCATAGGGACTGGCCCATAATAAGACAAAGGACTTTAACATAAGTACCAGTGATAACACCAGTAATTATACAGTAAGTACCAGGTACTTACCATAGGGACTGGCCCATAATAAGACAAAGGACTTTAACATAAGTACCAGTGATAACACCAGTAATTATATAGTAAGTACCAGGTACTTACCATAGGAACTGGCCCATAATAAGACAAAGGACTTACCCATAAGTACTAGTGATACCAGTAATTATATAGTATACCATGTACTTACCAGCAAGTACCTGGTACTTGCTGGTAAGTACCTGGTACTTGCTGTTAAGTACCTGGTACTTGCTGGTAAGTACCTGGTACTTGCTGGTAAGTACCTGGTACTTGCTGGTAAGTACCTGGTACTTGCTGGTAAGTACATGGTATACTATATAATTACTGGTATCACTAGTACTTATGGGTAAGTCCTTTGTCTTATTATGGGCCAGTTCCTATGGTAAGTACCTGGTACTTACTATATAATTACTGGTGTTATCACTGGTACTTATGTTAAAGTCCTTTGTCTTATTATGGGCCAGTCCCTATGGTAAGTACCTGGTACTTGCTGTTAAGTACCTGGTACTTGCTGTTAAGTACCTGGTACTTGCTGGTAAGTACCTGGTACTTGCTGGTAAGTACCTGGTACTTGGCTGGTAAGTACCTGGTAATGTGTAATTCTTGTTACTTGGGTTGGGTACCTAGTTCTTGCAGTGTTTCCCTTGTCCTTGAAACTTGTTTTGAAATATGCATTAAATGTATTTATACTGTCCTTTCTGTGCTACTTATTCCATATTAATAAAGACGTTTGTTTTACATAATGTTGTTTTATGTTTTATAGTCAAACAATCCTACAAATGACCTCTGTATGTATGTATGTAGAAGTACCACATTTACTACATAGGAATAATACTGTAGTGTCCTTGAATTACTAAGTTACAGCTGTATCTAGAATTATCACAATAAGTACCTAGAAGTACCACTGTAAGTACCACAATAAGTACCTCTAAGTACCACTGTAAGTACCTAGAAGTACCACTGTAAGTACCACAATAAGTACCTAGAAGTACCACTAGAAGTACCACTGTAAGTACCTAGAAGTACCACTGTAAGTACCACTGTAAGTACCACTGTACCCCGTAAGTACCACCGTAAGTACCACCGTAAGTACCACCGTAAGTACCCCTGTAAGTACCACCGTAAGTACCACCGTAAGTACCACCGTAAGTACCACCGTAAGTACCACCGTAAGTACCACTGTAAGTACCACCGTAAGTACCACCGTAAGTACCACCGTAAGTACCACCGTAAGTACCACCGTAAGTACCACCGTAAGTACCACCGTAAGTACCACTGTAAGTACCTAGAAGTACCACTGTAAGTACCTAGAAGTACCACTGTAAGTACCACTGTAAGTACCACTGTAAGTACCACTGTAAGTACCACTGTAAGTACCACTGTAAGTACCACCGTAAGTACCACCGTAAGTACCACCGTAAGTACCACCGTAAGTACCACCGTAAGTACCACCGTAAGTACCACCGTAAGTACCACCGTAAGTACCACTGTAAGTACCTAGAAGTACCACTGTAACTACCTAGAAGTACCACTGTAAGTACCATGGACTTACCGGCCCGTAATGTAAAGTGTTACCCAAATATTTGATAAATGCCTTTCTAAACCAAATGTTGCCATGCTGAAAAGAGCCTCAATATTCTTACAATTTCTCGTATAGATTTTGGTCTGGCCACATTCCGGCGTGACGAAACAGCAGAGCCAGTGTCCTTCTACCAACAGAGACTGATGGAAGTTTATTTACCACCCGAGTTCCAGAGCTCGAGTCTGGAGCCCACTCAGCCCGGAGACGTCTTCTGGTGCGAACCACAACAAACTGAAATATTACACATGTTTTACGTTTATATTTACTCTGCTGTGAATAATATGACTGTTTGATTTGCAGCTATTCCATCATTTTGTTGGAGATTGCAACTCGCAGTGATCCAGTCCCAGTAAGTACAATTGTCATAAGAGCCTGTATACATGTACATGACGGTTACTTTACCATTTGTGACAAATGTTTGTAATGCTGCGCTGGAATCCCTCAAGCTGTGATTTCCTCCAATAAGAGGACAATAAAAAAGGGGAAAAAAAGTGTTTGTGCCACTGTTGCTAGAGGTTCCTGATATTAGTGTGGAGGGAGCTTCAACTTCTGGTCTGAAGTCAAAGTTTTAAGTCTTTACGAAGATGAAAAGAGTCTGACGTACTGCTCTGCCCCGTGGTGAAACACACAGAGTGGAAGGGGTGGGCGGGCTTTGATGCTCGCAAGTTTAAGCTAGCAGCTTTATGTGTAAAGTTCTCCGAGTGTCTGGTTCCCGAGATCTAAAAGTTCACGTGGTTTTGTTTGGACGGACAAAGGAGTAGAATTCTCTTCCATGTAGCGCTAGAAGATTACAAGAGTATCTCGGCGTGGAGAAGCAGCGACTCTTCTCTAAGCTCCTCCCATGTGACTGAGCTCCTCACCCTATCGCCAAGGGAGCGCCATGGTACTTTGGTTTTATTTTGACATCTGTTCTCTGTGCTTTGGTTTTAGTTTTACCTCCTGTCTTGTTCCCCTGTCTTGATTATTTGCCCCGCCCTGATGTGTTTCACCTGTCTCTCTCTGTGTCTAAAAGTACCCAGTGCTTCTCTCCCCTTTGTTGCTGGTCCATTGTATTGTCTCATCAAGTTCTGTCCTGTTCCCTTTAGATTTTTGAGTTTTCATTAAATCATTATTTTTTGGCATTCCTGCATTTTGGGTCCTTCCTGCTTCTCACCACGTGACAGAAGCAGGACCACACCTGGTCCTTATTCATCACCACCTATAAGGTTTTTATTTTTCAGCCTGGATTTCCTCGCCTGTGTCTGCTGCTGCCCTTCAATGACCTCTCCTACCCCTCGCCTATTTGGTTTCAGCTTGGACTTTATTTTATTAAATATTTTTTTCTCCATTCCTGCGTATGAGTCTTTCCTGCATCTCACTCCACGTGACAAGGTGAGGTTGGGAACCAAGGCCCCGTCCCAATACTCGCACTTCCACCCTCACGCCCCTCATTTGAGCATTCCCGATGATGGGTGCGAGTGCGTAGGGTGTCCCAATTCTCCAGGGAGGTCTTTGGCCCCACCCTCTATGTGTCCCTGATCCACACTTCGCCGTAGTCTGCATCCAAGCGGACTCTGGCGAAGGATATTGCCAATAATTCTCAGCAGAACACACCAAAACGTCGGGAAAATGCATTTAAGTGTAAGTCTTGAAATACAGTATATATGCTGTGTGTGTGTAAATAACTTTTGCAATGTTACTTGGAAAGAAGCATAAATGTCTGATAAAGAATCACGAGCATTCCATGCAATAATTTCATAACTTTTTTAATGCAAGCATTTATATACCATTCAATTTAAACTTTACACTTAGCACAATAAACTTAGGATGTATAAAAACTTACCAGATAACAGTTAGTTACCCACATTTAACTTGAAATTATATAACTATCTCAAGTTACGAATAACCAATAGACACGTATTTTAACATGTGTGGAGCAACTCATTTTGTTTCCCACAGGGTCAGACGAAATGTCCTTTGACTTTTATAAAGTTTAGGTCTGAAAATGACCATCTCTAGACTAGTCGATGACGTAACCTGCACTGTTCCAATTCTGCCTTTTTTGCACGCTTGTAACCTGCGCACTCAAACCCTTACGTGCACTTTAAACAAATGCACACTTCGCAGAGGAGTGTAGGGTGTGGGTATTGAGACGGGGCCCCAAATTGACCGGTACCAATGGTTCAGTGATAAAAGTTAAGCAAGGGTAACTTTTATCTTTAAATTCTCTCAGTTTCCGCAGAAACAGTTTGATGAGATTTCTTAACAACATGGTTAGTGTTTTTGTTTTGTCCCATTTCAGGTCTTTAGACTTTCACTCCTCTACAATCTGTATATGAGAGTTGTCAACAGCATACTGTCCAAGTGACTGTACACAGAGTTTAGAGCAAATGAGATCTCATCCTCATTCTGTCTGTAGGCAAACTGGAGCGGATCAATACTCACAGGGATCTGGCTCTTAATGAAGTCCAAAACGAGCCGCTCAAAAGTCTTTAAAACAGACGTTAGGGCCACAGGACCATAGACATTAAGGCATGACACAGGAGTTCTCGTAGGAACTGGGATTATGGTCAACTCTTTAAAGCTGGCCGGCAGACTACAGTTCCTTAGCAGCAAGTCAAAAATGTATGTTTAGACAGGGGCAAGTTGTATAGAGCACAGTTTCAGGACTCGAGTAGGGATGCTGTCCGGCCCTGGGGCTATAAGGATTGTGGTCCTGGATAAGACCCGCTGGACTTCCTGGCATATGTCCACAGTGTGTCCCCCATTGTCAGTCCTGGCTCAATCCTTGCCTAGCTCTTGTTCTGGCTGTTTTCGAGTGTCTTTGTGTTCCTGCTCTGACCGGCTTGTGTCCCCCCCACTTTTCTGCTCTCGTATTGGTTCATCCAGCGAAAAAGTTGAGCAATGATCATTGGCGTACCCACTGCCCCTGCTGTGCCGGACAAACATGCGTGCAGCAGCGCACACGCAAATGTTTGCACCGACGTACGTCACCATTGATTTAGCATCTAACTTCGCTGAAATGCATGGTCCGGTGTGAACGCCCCTTGAAAATCACACTGGTGGTCTTAGATTGTGAATTTCATTATGAAGAAATATAAAGCAAAAACCAGTTAGATTTCACCTAACAAACTCAGCTCTGGATAATACGTTTGAAAAAAAGTATAAATATAACATAAATATTAAGGGCATCAAGCACTTAAGAAGAAATCCACTTCAAAGTTTTGTTCTGAAAAGGTCATATATGATTGTTTTTTAGGTTTTTTTTTATATAGGGGGGCGTATATGTGACCTGTTATATGAGGATTCATTTAAACATATAGATGTAATGCAAAATTAAAATATTTCTATCCCTTTATTTCAATATTGTAACTTTTTATACCAACTATATTTTAGGCTGAAGAGTCGAACCTGGAGACATCCTGGTGTCTTCCGCTGCCTGAACTGATCCGGAGCAAGACTGACAACTGCCCCTGTCCCTCCGACTATGTGGAGGTGACACTTTCATACGGTATTCGTGTCTTTAGAGGTTTATTATCATTACTTCTAAATTTTGTGTATTTTGTCCTTGTTGTGTTGCTGTAGCTGATACGCAGATGTCGATCGAACAACCCGGGGCAGAGACCCACATTTGAGCAGATCAAGAAGTTTGTGCATCGCATCAACCCGATCAAAGGAAGCCCTGTGGACATGATGATGAACCTAGTGAGGACTGTATATTCAAAGAAAGATCAATATTATTAGTATTGGCTATGGAAAATGATTATGAGACTATTTACTTACTTCCTATTCTACCAGAGGTAGGATCTGATACTTTGACAGACATGGGGCTTGGAGATCAGGGTCCGTATGCCTAAAGATTCTGAGAGTCCTCTCAGAGACTTAATCTAAAAACTCCTAGCTAAAAGCCTTAGCTTAAAAGTTATTCCAGAAAAATCTCAGAGAACTCTGGAATGGACAAATCTTAGTGAGGAGGCGTGGCCGACCCTGTTGCTAGGTATGAGTCATAATTTCAGACGCTGTGATTGGTTGATCCTAAAATGTTGGTGATAAGGTAGCCTGACTCTCGCCAGACCCTTGTAGTTCCTCCATGCTCCACCAGAGGCGTTTGGCTGAACACGGCGTGAGAAGCGCAGCGATCTAAGGGTCTGGCGAGAGTCAGGCTAGTGATAAGGACCCTCAGAAGGACAAACTTAATCATGGAATCTACTCTTAGGAAGACTGTGTCATTGTAAATAATATTCCAAAAAGATAGATAGATAGATACAGTATGTCAATGTAAAATTAATTCTGTGAATAGCAAGTTATACTTTTAAATCATCATAAAGAATGTGTGAAAACTTAAGCCCACTTGCACAGTATTAACACAGTAATAGTAATACTGTATGTATTTGCTTATATTATTTTCCATGCTGGTCATTTTTTCTCTTTCAACTGTTACCATTTCTACTGACTTTGGTGTAACGAGGGTAAAATGACACAGCTGTCATTCTTACCAGCCCATAAGAATCGGTGTTGGCTGACTTTCAAATATGCCACAAACAAGTGAACAGCAATGGAGAATAAAAGAAAGGGGAAACCTAACTCGACAGAGGAACAGTGTTTGCTTCTGGCTCAATTGGTCAATGATCATAAAAGGGTTTGAGAGGTAAATTTGGCCCCACTGTCATCCAGTGTTTGCAGGTATTATTATTTTATTTAGCTTGAATTTGAGATTTTTCTGAACACTTATACATGCAAGGGCTGAACCAAAACTGGGCCAAAAGTAAGGAGGGTTTGTTATGTAAAATTTAGATACAATTATTATACACTCCTATTACATAAATGGTCTGGTTGTTTTTTGTTGATAGATTTAGATTGAACCCCTGGTTGAACATTGTTCTACTGTAGACTCACTGTGGACTGCTGCTGATATACTAATTGAGGTTGTGTGTATGAAAATGTTTTGTATGAACTGTTTGTTGCAGATGGAGAAGTACAGTAAACACCTGGAGGTCCTGGTTGCCGAGCGAACACAGGATCTGATGCACGAGAAGCAAAAGACCGACCGCATCCTCTATAGTGAGGGCTTCAATTAAAATCAATTCATTTTATTATTGTATAGGCCTAAATCCCAAGATTAGTTATCGAAGAATTTAACATAACTGTTGATTTTGCCAACACAGATCACAGAATCAATAGAAATGCAATGATAAAAAGACATAGAGCCATTGGTCCATAAGGGGCAGATGTCCAGAAGTGCTCACGCTAATTAGAATATTCATGTTATTTATGTAATCAGTTTCCAAGACAAACGAGACAAGTCCTTTGCACATTGTGAGAAGCCATCATAGACTGTATATAGATTGACCATGCTAACCAGCTAGCTACTGTAAATGAAGCCAAACAGGGTTTGGTCCAAGTTTTGCTGACTCCTATTGACTTACTTTGAAAAGTAAACTCCTCTTGCTAAGTGACAGTTTGTGTCACTCTCAGGTTTAACATTTTGGGTTTAAAAAATGCATGTTTTTTTGACCAGACAGAAACGTAGAAAACAGAGGATCGTCCTCAATCAGCTCTCAGCCCAAAGTGTCAAATAGTGACCACCTACAGGAGGATCAGTAAGGGACTGGTGCTTGCAGAATTGGGTGGGAGCCACCTCCCTGACCCAGAAATGGACAAAGGGGATGAAGATGAGATGAGAAGATGAGGACTCTTACACAAAAGAGATGCTTTCTAATCAGATGAAGACAGCATTTTGTGGTCTCTTTTGTTCAAAACATTCAACATTTACGGGACTCTTTCAATTGATTCAAAATAGTTCTGATAAAATTAAAGATTATACAATTTTGAATAAATTAAATGACAGCTAATATTGCTTCTTCTTGTGTTTTTAAGGCATGCTCCCGAGGCAAGTGGCTGATGACCTACGGCAGGGAGTGACCACTCAGGCTCAGAGCTATGCCAGCGCCACCGTATTTTTCAGGTCAGACAAAATCAATAACAATCAATATATAAATGTTTTTGTTGATCTAAAATAGTTACATGAAACTCTGTGAACAACTTCTTGTTCCCTGGGCATTTTTCCCTCATGTGCACATTGTTCCCACAGCAAAATCAATCAGACCTGTTGTTTTTAAATCCATCAGGAACTCCAAACATGTAACTGCTTGTTCTGTCTAAAAGCTCCTGTCTCTGTACTGTAATTGTATGACGTGATATGATATCCAAGGAAAATTTGAAAACAAAATTGTTTAATTCTTCTTGTGTTATTGTTAAATTCTCAGATCTGTATTTGCAGCCCTCAATTTTAAAATTAGGAAAAAAGAAAAGAAAAAAAAGTATTCTCCTAAAACATAAAGTAAATGAGTCTCATTATAATATATGATGTATAATATTTTTCTTCAAAACATTGCACTATGATGTTTGATATTGTAGTATTTGATTTTGTTTGCAGATGTTTGTTTTGTTTTCAGTGATTATATTTTCGTTTGTGTGTGAAACTATAATTTATATAAAACAAGCGTCATTGCACTTTTTTTATATAGCCCTAAATCACAACAATCATCTCAGAGGACAGGGTTCAGAAAAAAAGATCAGAAAATCCAACAGATTTTACACAGGAAATGCAGTGATAACAAACACAGCCAATAGTCCATAGGGACCAGGAAGACCAATGTTTCTAAATGTTAATAATGTGCATATCTATACTACACATCAATTAATCAATCAACTTATTTTTAGTTGTCAACTTGTTTAATTTTTCATAGACACATGCTTTGAAGGGGCTGGTGCTCTGTGACTTGGGTGGGATCTCTGATCCCCCCCCCCCCCCCCCCCCCCCCCCGGCCCAGAAATGGATTAAGGGATGGATGGATGCTTTGAAGAGGTTTAATGACTGCAGTTAAATTTTAATTGTGTAACACTAACAAGTCAGGACGATGTTCTTTAGAGAAAACATCACTAGAACTTTTTTGGTCAAATATAGAAAAAATATTCACTGAGCTTTAGGATCTAAATAACTAATCCATTATCAAAAATAAAAGTTCATTATTACAGCCCTACTTTGCACTAAAAAGGCATCAGAAGAGCAGAAAAGGAATCATAAAATCCTGTTTTGTGCACTTTCAGTTGAACAGACCTGCACTAGGGTAATACAGAAGTAGTCTTGAGATCCCAAGGGCAGGATCTTTGGGAACTTTGTGTTCTCGGTTTTGTAAAGTCCTCTGAGAAAACTACTGTTGTGATTTAGGGCTATACAAGAATAAACTGAATCAAATTGAATTGAACATTTTGAATACAATAAAATTTTTGATTCAAGTTCTTACCAGTGGGGGCTGGTACCGGCTCAAAAATGTCCAAAATGATGTGCGCTGTCATGCTGGCAATACCACACTGGGCCAGTGGCGGTGGACCCGGAATTAGAATTATTCAATGCTAAAGCACGTATCTTCTTACCTCTCGAAAACAGTGCATTTTTTTGAACCAGTCTAGTTTAGTCACTGTGAAATTTTGAGGGCGCTTGTTAAATGAATGGGGCTAGTGCCAGCTGACGCATGCACAGATGCGTTTTTTCACATTTTCCAGCCCCCGCGGCCATTTTGAAAATGCCCATAGATGGCAAAAGTGGTGGCACATTAGTTTGAACGGCAGAGATAGGAATGAGTACGTCCGTTAATATTTACAGTCTATGGTTGTAACCCACAGTGTTACTCTCTAATGGTCACTTTTCTTCCTCGTATCACACTCATTCTTGTGGTACTGCAGCGACATTGTGGGCTTCACGCAGCTCTCCAGCAGCAGCACTCCGTATCAGGTGGTGGATCTGCTCAACAAACTCTACACCACATTTGACGAGATCATCGACAACCATGATGTTTACAAAGTGGAGACGATCGGAGACGCGTGTGAGTGGAACCTGCATCTGCTCACAGAAACACTGCTGTATCAAGTTGTTCCATGCAAGATGTATCATAATTGTGTAATTCTACTACAGCTGCCAATCGACACCACCTGACCAAAAAAAAGTCAGAAATCAAGACATCCCCCCTTTACAAACATGCACTTTTCTCCAGAGTGCTGACTTTAGTCACACACTTTTTTCTGGTTTGGGGAGGACCCCTCAATATCCCTAACAGAGATCTCAAACCTTTATAGTAAAAGGGCCACTTTTGTTCAGCAAAAAAGTCCAGGGGGCCTACAACCCAGATGAGCTGAACTTTAAAAATAGGTAGGACTATGTTGGTTCACATTTGATGGAAATAAAGTTGACTGAATGACAAATGTGTATTAACAAGATACATTTGTGTCATACAATAATCAAGTCTTAGTAGTAGTAGTCGAACAGTCAACGACTGGATTCCAGAGGTCCTGTGCTTTACAGTTGACTAGGTGAACTTGTGTTTATGGTAACTTTGGGTTAACAAGGCAAAGGGTCATGTAAAATTACACAGACTTGGCTCACAAGCCTTAGTTTGGACATGCCTGGTCAATAGTGCAAAATTTGTACAGCCGCTGTTTGTACAACACTCTCCCACATGCTTTGGTTTCACTTTTCTTTATTTACATTACTTACACATTTGGTGAAAATGTCTACAATGCCACTGGTGCGACAATTTGTTTCCTCTCTTTGCTTTGGGCTGACAGTAGCTGTGTTGAGACGTTTTCACTCTCCGTTACCCCCCCTCTGCTCCTGACATGATCCTGCTGCATTCATAGCAGGATCTGGAGACCGGAAGTACTGTATATAGACTTTAATGCATGTGTATACTGGGCAGGGCAGGAGAAGATCTGGACTTTAAATGCCATTTCTAGTGGTGATGCCTTCTTCCATGTCTTTGTTGGAGATGGTCACTATTTAATCTTACATGCTTCATGATTTTTCCGTTAGACATGGTGGTGTCAGGAGTTCCCAAAGAGAACGGAATCCTACATGCCTCGGAGATCGCCAGTATGAGCCTGGATCTGGTGTCTGTGTGTAAGAGCTTCAGGATCCCACACAAACCCACAATGCAGCTGCAGATCAGAGCGGGTATACACTCAGGTACAAATACTGCTAATACTGCAATCGCTATTACCACGGCTACTACTCCTACTACTGCTTTCATATCAGAAGTGGTCTGGAAGAAGGTTAAATGATATAGTTTCCTTGGGAACAGGTCCAGTGGTGGCTGGAATTGTTGGAACCAAAATGCCTCGTTACTGCTTGTTTGGAGACACAGTGAACACAGCGTCTCGGATGGAGTCCACCAGCCTCGGTGAGCACAGCGACAAAAAAAATCTGGTTCAATTGTGCCAGGTTCAGCAGAATGAATGGAAACTTTGGGTAGATAAAATAAAACACTTTATGACTTATGGTTGTGTTTCCAGCGTTGAAGATCCAGTGCAGCTCCAGTGCTTTCTTTCTGCTGGAGGAGGTGGGAGGATACACGCTGCACTGCAGAGGGACTCTGCAGGTCAAGGTCTGACAGCTCACCAAACATTAGACTATTTCAATTATTTCAGCACATGACATTTGACCATTTTTATGTCTGGCCATAAATGTATCTGAGATGTTCAATGGTGTTAAGAGATGGTCCTATATACTCTGGCAATTGTACAATATCCACCAATCTCTCAGCTGCTATGAGGCCTAATACCAACATACTTCACTTGAAAAACATTAATTAAGAGTCCAATTTGCTAACTAGAACTTGTATCAATTGTAGTGTTAATTTCCACAGTTATAGTGACCAAAAGTCATAACACCGTCTGTGTAGGTCCGTTCATTTTATTTTTTTTTCTGACATCCCATTTAAAAAAGAAATTCTGTGATTTTTCAGTTTTCTAATATGTGAAGCAAATAATAAAACAATTAAAGAAATTGCTATTTTTCATAGAATTGTAGCTATAATATTGCATTTTGCATCATTTTCCTCAAACTAAATTTTGTGTGAATGTTGCAATATTCAAAATCCAATATCTGTAAAACCAAAATACAGAAAATCCTGAATGTTTTAATATCTATTTTATTCCTCCATACTGCCCAGGTCAGGGGATAGCAACTCAGAAGGTTCAAAGAGCCATATTTGACAAAAAACTAAAAACAACATCTGCCTGTAGCCGCAAAAAAAAAAAATAATAGTTTCCTAATGTAACTTAAGATCTACGAATAGGTGCGTAGTCCCTTAGAACTTCGCTAGTGGGATATCACGTGACCCCCAGGTCACACGCCAGAGAGATCAAATATATAAAATATGCTCCAATCACTAGCGACCCTCCTCTATAAAAGCCCCTGCACAAGGCCGCGCCCCCTCTTGAACTCTGCCAAGCCGGGCTGGCCTGATGGGCTCGTAGCTAAGGGACTACGCACCTAGTCGTAGAACTTAAGTTACATTAGGTAACTATTAATTCTACGTCATGGTGCTACGTCCCTTAGGACTTCGCTAGTGGGACACAACGCGGAGGCCGTAGGAACATGTACTCCCAGCAGGCCAGCGAAGAGTGATTGGAGCCCCGCCCGAGCAAGACCCTCACACAGTGAGAGGACTCAGGGCAGAAGAATAATCAATTGCGTGTTACAGGGCCGCTCCTCCCAAGGACACCCCCAAGTAACACAGACCGAAGGCCACCCGTAGTCCCAGGACGCCTCTCCCAAGAGCTCCTGACGTGGACTACCTAACTGACCAAAAGCACACACATACTGCACCTGCAGGACGCCTCTCCCAAGAGCTCCTGAACCAGGGCGGACAAGTCAACCGTAGACCCCCTCAGAAGAGGAACCTCACGGTTTCAACTCAATCCGCTGCACTAAGCACGGAATGGGCCACCGACCGATCCGACACACCCAAAGGTAAGACCGGACGAAAGAGGAGGACGAAGCCCAAGAAGCCGCACGGCACACGTCCTCGACCGAAGCCCCCCTGAGGAGGGCCGTAGAGGCCGCCACCCCGCGTGTGGAGTGCGACCTGAAACCCACTGGGGGGGCCAGGCCCTGAGCCTGATACGCCCGCCACACAGCCGTGGCAACCCAGTGCGCCAGCCGCTGAGACGACAGCGGGGCGCCCCTGTTCTTGGGGCCCAGACACACAAACAGCTGAACAACCAACCTGAAGGAAGATGTCATGGCCAGGTAACGCCTCAGCATTCTGACAGGACACAGAAGGTGCCGCCGCTCCTCCTCTGGGGAGGCATGCGGCGGCGGATGGAAATCCCTAATCCTGATCACTCTCGACCTGAAGGCCGAAGTGATGACCTTAGGGAGAAAAGCTGGATTGGGCCACAACTCCACCAGTCCGTCACCCTCTCCAAAGGACAGGCAAGACGCATGGACGGAGAGCGCACACAAGCCGCCCGCCCTCTTAGCAGACGCCAACGCCAGCAAAGGGGCAGTCTTAAAAACCACACACTCGGGACTCTCCTCCGACCGCGGTTCAAAAGGCGGGCCCGAAGGACCCCTAAGGACCACCCTGAGGTCCCAAACCGGGGGCGTTCTCTGAAGCGGGGGCCTCCTCCTGCGGGCGGAGAACGGATGAGAACGGACGCTTCTCATCCGTTCTCATCGGATGATCAGACCTCTGCAGCTATCCGCGGGGCCAGGCCCCACTCGTCCTGGAGTGGGCCCCCCTTGGACATCCTGTCGGCACCCACGTTCCGGGCACCCGGGACGTGGCGCGCCCTCAGGGACAGGGGGTGAAGCGCCGCCCACAGCAGCGTCACCGTCGCCATGCGATGGAGAGCGGGGGATCTGGTGCCTCCCTCTCTGTTCAGATAAGACACCACCGAGGTCTTGTCTGAGCGCACCATCACGTGTCTCCCCTGCAGCTGAGGAGCAAAGTGCAGCAGCACCCTGTGTACTGCCTCCATCTCCAGAAGGTTGATGTGGCGTGCTGAGTCCGACCAGCAGCCTCCTACGGAGCTCTGACCGAGGACCCCGCCCCAACCCTCGAGTGACGCGTCCGTGAACACCTCCACGTGAGACACGGCGCAGACCAGAGTCACTCCGTCCCGCAATAGACCCGGAGTGAACCTGATGTCCGACGCTGCAGTTTGGGGAACCCAGATCAGCCTCCCCCCGTCCCGGGAGGGGTGAAGCCTGAGGCGTGAGAACCATCTCTGAAAGTTCCTCATGTGGAGGAGGCCTAGCCGCACCACAGCATGAGCCGCCGCCATCATCCCCAGCAGGGACCTGAGGCGCCGAGCGGGGACCCCGGGGCCCGCTAGCACCTCCCTGGCTAGACAGGTAATGTTCCTCCGTCTGTCCTCGGACAATGCAGCACGGAACGTCACAGAGTCTAGCTGCAAGCCGAGATAGATCATGCGCTGAGCCGGTTGCAGCCTGCTTTTTTATTTTCTGTTCACCACAAAGCCGAGACACTGTATGTGGGAAAGGACCCAGTGTGTGTGACTCACGGCCACTTCCCTGGACGAGGCCAGTATCAACCAATCGTTCTATATAGGTTAATATTCGTACCCCCGCGCGTCTGAGTGGCTCCAGTGCCGTCTCCGCGCACTTTGAGAAAGTCCGAGGCGTGAGCGCGTAACCGAAGGGTAGACGGCAGTACTCGTAACTCCTCTCTCCCACTGCAAAGCGCAGGAACTTCCTGTGTTCCGGAACTATCGCCACATTAAAATAAGCGTCTGTCAGGTCTATGGAGGACATCCAGTCTCCCTGCCTGACACACTCCGGGAGCTGTTTTGTGGACAGCATCCGAAACTGACGCTTGGAAATGCACTTGTTCAAAGTGCGCAGATCCAGAATGGGACGCACCCCTCCTGACTTCTTTGGCACTAAGAAGTAAGGGGAGTAGAGCCCCCTGGTGGCGTCCTGTGGGTCTACCTCTACTTCTGCGCCTCGACTTAGCAGAGAGGAGATCTCCACTTGCAGTGCCACTAATGATCCCCGTACCTGAGAGCGTGCTGCCTGCACACCCCGGAATGGCGGTGGCTTTCGGGAGAATTGCAATGCGTAGCCCCTGCGCATGGTCTTCTCTAGCCACGGATCCGACAGTAAACCCTGCTCCCTCCAGATGCTGTAGAAGTCTGTGAGGGGCGGAACGGGAACTGGAACACGAGACGTCACAGCCCCGCCCTCTCCTGGTGTTCGTAGCAGGGAGGTGGGGGTGAACGAAAGGGCAGAGGGGCCCCCTGCGTCATTCCGTGTGCGCCGGGGGCGGTCACGTGTCCTGCAGACCCGACGTCATAAGTCCGGGCCTGCTCATGCCATGTGACTCGACTGCTCCGCCCCCCCCTGGCTCTTGCCTCATGGAGGAGGGGGGCGAGCCCCTGGAGTGGGAGACCCCGTGCTTAGCCTCGTAACTTAGAGGAGCTAACGCGTGTTCGGCCGAAGCACACACAACACTACTCACCAGATCCCTCCGCTTGACCCCTCTCTCGGAGGGCATAGCATGGATCAGTGGACCGGAGCTCGTAGCCCGCGTAGCACACTGCACACCCTGCTCTGGGGGCTGCAGGCCTAGCGGGGCAACGTTATGGGTTCGGGAAGTAAAACAAGCACATGACACATTACACATGTTACGTACCCCCAAATGAGACTCAGACAACGAGTACTGATGAAATGCCGGACGGCCTTTATTAGCAAAAGTTATGCCACCCCGGCCTCCTCTACTGTAGGGAGGCCGGCGGTGGGTGCGCTGCTCCCTCGGGCCTTCCGTGGGCCTGTCCGGACCTGGGGGTCTCGTCGAAGGGGGACGATGGATGGTGGAGCGTGGGTAGGGTGCGGAGCGCCTCCTGGGCGAGCGCTCTCTGCCTCTGTCCAGGCTCCGTGCAGCTTGGTGGGCCTCACGCCTCGGAGCTAGGTACGGTGCTAGCCTAGCCGAGTCCTTGGCCGCAGACTCCAGTCTGTCCACCAGGGCCGAAGAGGGACGTCTGGGACACGGGCAGGTCCAACAGTTGCCTCTCCTCCGCCTCCCTGATGTTTGCTAGCCCAAGCCAGAGGTGCCTGGCCCCGACTTGGGCTGCAGCCATGGTGCGGCCACCATCCACGGCAAAGGCCTGGCTCATGCGCAGGAGAGCCGCGGAGGTGGTCCTCGTCTCTGTCAGGAGGTCTCCACTGAGGCCAGCGGAGAGCGACCTATCCAGGGCCCCCGTGATAAAGGCCATGTTGTTTGCCAGGGCGACGACCTGAGCCGCGTTGGCATAACACCTGTCCAGCACAGCCAAAGACATCCTGTCCCGCTCAGAGGGAAGGAGAGGTCTGGCGCCGGGCCACAGTTCTCTGGGCGCTGGAGCACTGGAGAACGTACGCCTGCGCCCACTCTCCTCTCTGGGGAGAGCGAGACACGAGGCGCAGCTAGCGCTCTCCGCCGCATGGCCCGAGCCCAGGCACAAGAACAGCGTGGATGCTGGTCCGTGCACGGGAGCCTGACCCGACACTCCAAGCAACGACGACGTCCGACACCGGAGGGCGAAGGGGAAATCGGACGAGCAGTCAAGGCAGACATCTCAGCAGACAAAGTAGAAGTAGTAGATGTAAGTATGATCTCAATCGGTGCCAGAGTGAAAGAGGGGGCGCGGCCTTGTGCAGGGGCTTTTATAGAGGAGGGTCGCTAGTGATTGGAGCATACTTTATATATTTGATCTCTCTGGCGTGTGACCTGGGGGTCACGTGATATCCCACTAGCGAAGTCCTAAGGGACGTAGCACCATGACGTAGAACAGCCTTGTATAAGGCTGTTATATGTAGGTAACACAGGCTACAAGCTGTATTAGCTATATTAGCCTCATATCTAAATGACAAAGTAAAGGCTATAATACATAATAAGCATTCATGATCATCAAATGTGTATTTTCACTGCAGCGTGTCCTGGAGAGAATGACGCACCACGGAATGACTTCTGCTTTAAGTTTAACTTCCATTTTTTTGCTTTCACGCAATTGTGGAAATACAGTCAATAAATCTGCTTTTTGTCTCAGAGTTCACATTCCTGCATCACAGCACTGTCTTGTTCATATCCATCACATCAGAGGCTGAAGTTAGCTGGAGCTGAATGAATGTCCTTAATGACCCTTTCTTTCACCGTTTTTTGAAGTCTGAAAATAGGTACTCTGAATTTTTTATGAATTAATCCTTCACGTAATCCCCGTGGACGTGTTTTGGGCGTTATTGTTCCTCGTGTTGCAACAAAACTTCTCATTACAACGCAAACATGAAGCAGTTGTACTAAAACCATGGATCTATTAAGATAACTGGATAGGGTATTACTAGCTTGGAGCTGAAGAACCCATGTGCTCGGGGGATTCTCGCGGTACTGCAGACTAAACCAGACTAAATTCACGTGGGCTACCCAGAAATTTTCCCCATAGAACTCAATGTAAATTTAAAAAACTCAACCTCAGCTGACAGAGAACCTACAGCTTTAGCTTTAGTGTCCCTTGTCATCCTGGACTTTTTTTCTTCTTAAATCCTTCGGTTTTCTTTAAATCCACACTTTACTGCCACAAACTCTGCTAGTCTGGCTCTCGCTCTAACTCCCGCTCTGATGAACTGCTCTGATTGGTCAGAGCGCAGCCGAGCCCCTCTGTGCACGTGCGTGAGACCCATGTGAGACTCACTTGGCGCAACGCATCATGGGAGATAGCGCAACCCATCATGGGAGTTCCTCCACTGCGCAGAATCGGGAGGACCAGACGATGCCCAAATACAGGCGAGTTTCCCATGGATTTTTTTGATCCCAGCGGCACAAAGCGCCGCTGAGCACAACCATTCATTTGAATACGGCGCCATCTTGGATCGCTGGGGCTTGACTAACCCCTGTAAATGAATTGAAAAATGTAGTTAATTGATTCAGCTTGTATATGAATTCAGGCCATAACAAGTTCTGAGTAGAAAATTAGCGTGACGCTGGTTCTCCTCCAACGAGGTGAGGGCAGCACTGTTACGAACATGCCACGCCTCCTCTAGCGTCTGCAGTAAATGTAAATGCAAGCAGCATGGTAGGAGAAGGTGGCTATACCTCCTCTGGCTGTAACTGCAGACACCGCCAAAACCCCAAAAGATGCAACAGTGAGGGAAAAAAAAATGATTTAAGAGGAAATCAAGCCCGGGCGAATATAGCTAGCTTACATGTATGGTCTGGAGAGACCTGCGGGTGTGGACCGCCTCGGACTACATTTGGATTGGATCATTCAGTTATATACTTTGTTAGCAGTGCGTTGCTTTTGTACCATTTCATCAGTGATTTCTGTACAGCTTATAAGAAGTTGTGCTAATGCTAACTATTGCCTCTCAGATCAACTACTAAAACTACATGGCTCGTTTGAGGCGAGCGTAGAGGAGAGTAGGAGGGTCTCATTAAAATGAGAAGCCTGTGAGCGGCACTTCTGAGTGTTATGGGATGCATGGGCAGGTCATTTGGTACATGCGTCAATGCGTTACTTTTTTTTACGCGATTAATGAAAAAATGTAGTTAACGCAATAATTTTGACAGCCCTAAGAAAGACTAAACTAAACAATAAAATTTGGATATTGTGCACTCGCTTTTGTATTTGTGTGTGCAGGATGTGTCAGAGGGACTGCAGCGGATCAGTATAAAATGAATATTCATGATTTTCTGTATTTTCTTTTTCCATGTTGCAATGTTTACACAAAATTCTGTTTAAGGAAAATAATGCAAAAAATTATGGAAAATTATGCGAAAACAATTAATCGATTACTAAAATAGTTGTCGACTATTTCAATAATCGATTAGTCGTCGATTAATTGATTAGTTGTTTCAGCCCTAGAACGATGTGTCAACCAGAATTGACCCTAGAGGTACCCCAGAGAGGTACGAGTTTATTTGTGCTGTGAGCAATCTACAATCTAGTCCTAACCATTTCATTGCTACCACGGGCACATACCTGCTATCAGCCTGAAGTCTCCTACATAATGCTTCACAAGCCACAACTATCTGGAGATTTGGCGCAACTCTTGTGTTTCAAATGAAAACCGTTAAAAAGTAATTTAGACGGTCATTTTTACTTGAATTACACTGTAAAAATCAATAACAAAATCATGCAGAGATTGAGTAGTCTATAATAGACAGGATTGGATTATTATAAGTTTTTTGCTTCATCCAATGCCTGTTCAAACCAAATCAAGAGACATATAGAACAAGGGAAAATATGCGTATAATTGCAATTAATCACAAGTTACCTATGCCGTTAATGTGATGAATTGCGATTCAATAATTTAATTGTTTAACAGCACTAGTTAAAATATAGCCTGGTCATACCACACTATAGTACAAATTACATTTCGTACTAAGGTCTGGAGTGGCTCAACTGAGCTTCGTTAACAGGTGGGAGGGGTTAACCTTTTGCAGATTGATACGATTGGATCTGAGTTTACCGTGGCGCATATAATGCGCAAGAGTGAGTCGTTAACATTTAGCATTCAGCCTAGCCACCTCCTTTGCCGCTAACGGAGCCTGTGGGGAGTAGCGCCACAATCTTTGCAAACAATGACTTTTGCTATACATTTCTCTTGCTCCAGCTTCAATTTCTTGATAGAGCCAGACCGGAATACTTTACTATCGCATTCTTTGCCATTGTCAAACTACAACCAGCCCATTCGGCGCAAACTCTTGACGTCACCCACATCTAACAACACCCGCCTCCCTCGCTCACTGATTGGTTGGATGGAATTCAACTGATTGTAATCGCAAACATAGGGACCAGACCCAGACGTTACATGCAGAGAAATGATAATTGAGTGGAGTGTATGGATGGCTAAGGCCAGGCTAGTTAAAGCTCCACTAACTCACTTTGTGAATTTTTTTCAAGTGAGCGCTGGCCTCGCTCTTTCTGCTCGCCCTCCCCGCACTCACGGAGCTTTCGACCCCCACTACCCCCCTCCCACTCAGCCAATTAAGGCTAATTGTTTACGGAGCTCACAATATGGATCGCACATTTTAACGTGGATGGCGTGACCATAGAGTGATAGAACCGGGAAGCGCGCGGAGGAACGAGACTTTCTTTTGGATGACTGTTTCGCTGTGTAAGCAGTAACCGGTAATGAAGACACGGAAAGTTTCAGGTTAGCCTCTGCCACTTGTTTACCTTAGCTGTCAGTGCTAAGAGGGGGACCTGTGGCTTTTCTCAAGAAAGTGGGGGCCAGTGGTCCGCTGTGATTGGTCACAATCTGGTCCCGAAACAAATTATCTTCCTTGTTGCACAAAAAATCGATCTAAAATAAAATGACACGGCATCACAAATCAGCGCTACTTTTTCTTCAAAAGGTTGTCCCAATGTATTGCATGGATATGGATTGAATTTTTGTAATGAATACAAAAATAAAGTGAGGTAATGCAGCTTAAAAATGCATCGTAGTATTTGTATCAAGTGTATCCTGGTGGTGGCTGAAGGAAATGCGTCTTGTCCTCAGGGAAAAGGCGACATGGTGACATACTGGCTCGAAGGAAAGAAGACAAATTTGGTCAAGAAGGAAGTGACCGCCGAAGCCAAAGCAATCAAACTGGTCACTATGGATTCTGGGGTGGTTACTACAGATACAGAGGCAGAGAGGTACTGCTCGCTACCGGGAATGCTCAACCAGGACCTGGTCATCATGGAATAAAGACGACTACTACTACTGATATTTATACTTGCTATTGCTTTTTCTACTACTGCTCCTCCTACTTTTGCTGCTGCTACTACTACTATTTCTCTTATGGAGACATTTTTTAATGATTTGTGTGTGTGTGTGTGAATATTATGTCTAATTATGATAAAAAAAACATTTTAAAAGTTTTGAATCCTGATACCATCATCATATACATTATGTTGTCTTGACCTCTGGTCCTGGGTGCACTGTGCTGTTAATTTAGAAGAATTATATTGAAAGTCGAAAGTTCCTACAACAGGGATCCAAACAACACAGCTTTGCCACTCTTGTCCCGAGTCAACACCTTTCAACACAGTGGGAAAGTGTGAAATTGTCATGAGTCTTATTAAAGGTATTGTGGTTAAGTCAAAGCTAAAATGGGAAATTTACTTTCAGAAAGAAATCAGCGGTGGGAAACCCCCAGCTGTGGGCCAGATGCGGCCCTTTGTACATTTTTAGTGGTACCACACCTATGAGATTAGTTTTGTTTCAATGTTACAACTTATGCTCGCTTGTCCGTCCCTCACACTTAAATCATGCATGGACTCTTCACACAGACTCAGCTGCAGAAACAACAGCTCAAGCCATTCGGCTCACTGCAGCGGTATGCTCCACATGTGTCCACTCTTGGCTCCAGTCAACTGTAATTATATTCAAGCAGTCACATTAAAGCTGGGGTACTTAACTTTTATTCTTCACAAATAATGCATGTTTGTAACAGAGAGAGTCTTGTGAAAATAAAATGTTGTGATCAAATCAGACCACATGCAGTCTTTGTCTTATTAGAAAACATGTTTTTTTCATACTCATATGAAAGACAATCTGAGAGAGAACTAGTTAGATGGATTTCATTACATAGTTTGCTTTATAAATAAGATATATTTGAATATTGAAATAACAAATTTGGTATAAAATAAAGCCACAAGCAGCAATGAAAGCCCTCACCATTCTCGCGACCACCTCCTAGGCGCCAGTCCGATTAGTGGCATGCGGTGTACTTGCCGATGAATCACAGCCTGATCGGACCAGGATTATGCAACAATAAGATAATTCAAATGATTCAGGGCCCCACTATTGGTCAATCGTGGGACATGCACCATCTGTGTATTGTAATACTTTGCTCGTACTGATGTAAAGATTTGACCCTATGACTTTGGTGTGGATCGGAACATGTTTAGGTCAGGGACCTTCCATAGGTGGCACTCTAGAGCACTGGTTCTTAACCTTGTTGGAGGCACCGAATCCCACCAGTTTCATATACAGTACGTATTCCCCGAACCCCTCTTTAGTGAAATATAACATTTTCAAATTCAAGACATGATTTTTATTGGTGCACAAAATGAGCAGTGCAAGAACATTGTGTTCAAAGAACAAAACCAACACAATGCATGAACAAATCACATACCTGCAAATGAGTGTGACTTCTGCTGTTGCCTTTGAGAGACCAGTTGAGATATATAAGACCTCATCTTGGCAAATGCCAATCTCTTGTCATTTTTACAGCAAAGTCAGTTGCTTTTATGTCCAACAACCTCGAAAAGGACTGCTCGCAATGATATGTTTTAACAAATGGTATAAAAATATCCAGGGCTTTCCTAGCAATAACTGGGTACTGGTCCATTTGTTGATACCAAAACGTTGAGAGCGTTGTTGTTCTGTAAAGTTGCTGTTGAACCAGGCTCTGCTGAATGTCAATGATTTTGTCAAGGTATTCATCATTGACATCTGCTGTCTCAACAGCAACCGTCAACGACTGTCTTACCCATGCTGGATATGACTCTCTTGTAGGGAAATATCCGTCAAGAGACTTTGCAAGCTCATCTCAGTGCGTGGCAATTGTTTGCTTCAGTTCTGTGGATAGAGATATCTCCAATTCCAGACGCATCTTTAATTTTACTTAAACAGTCATCCACAAGGGGGAAGTTTGCTAAGTTATTGTTCTTTGTTCGTCGTTTCCACAACAGCCCAAGCCCAGTTGCTGAGGTCACATAGCACCTAAAGCCGGGATATACTGTAATTGCGAAGTCGGCCCAGGCCCACTTTAAACGCAGCCTTAGTTTTGCCAGTGCGAGACTGGCATTGCTCAACTTGGCGTTGCAAATCATGCAGATAGGACACTCACTCCCATCACGTGTGGTACATGTGAATCCATGTTGTACATATTCGTCCGACCACTTTCTTCTTTTTGCCCGATATAGTTAAGTATTGATTAACATATCACACAAAGTACTACCACGAGCGCACTACATTCCCCGCACACTGATCGAGTGTGAAGCAGTGTAGCTCATCTGCAGCCAGTGATGGCCAATCAGGACGCATCATCATGAATGTATTAATTATCTCGGGTATGTCCGGACCTCTGCGGCGGAGGTTCTGCCGAACCCCTGAGACCGGCCCACCGAACCCCTGGGGTTCGATTTTGCAAACATTGTATTACTTCAATCAGTCCAGATGGAGAAATGACATGATAGAAGTCTCTGCAATGAAAGACCTGGGATTAGATCGAGTGGCTGTAGGTGGCGCTGTTGCACTCACGGTTGTGTGTTGCATATTGTTGTATTCAGGGTCATACGCTGTATTTGTGAATTAATTTCTAGTCTTATCGAACTAAAGTTGTGCTCAAAAAGCTAGTTGAGGTGGTCAGATGTGGGAATTACACCTTTTGCGTAATGTAATGTTTTGCTCGTCTCAGTTCAGAGATTATACTATTATATTGGGCTTGTGATTTTGATTTCATTGCGCTCAGGCCATAATCAAATATTTTTATCTCCATCTCCAGTGAGATGTGAGTTTCATCTCTGTAGGTCTGAGCCTGTGGCCCTGAGGGGTCCGCGAAAACACCCGAAACTAATGTGTTGTTCGCCATGGCGTAGGACAAAAAAGGTGAGGAATTTTTTGCTTTTTAATGATGACTCCAATCGGTCAAGATTGCGATAGATTGATACTTCAGACCATCATGGTCGACTTCCCGTTGGTCCCAGAGCAAGGCTACAAGAGAGTTTTAGGCTTGAGATCTATCACTGATCTGAATTTTATGTACCTACTCTAAAATATGCATGACCAGTGTTATTCAACCTTTTTTGAGCGAAGGCATACTTCTTTCATTGACAAAATCTCGTGGCACACCACCGGGAGAAAATGTAAAAATAAATATACTCTGTAGCCCATTCACAATATAAAGTCATTCTCATCAAAGTGTATAAATAGAAATCCAGGCCTTGACATTAAGCTTTGTTTAATATTTCTTAATACAATGAATTAACATGAATTTGGGAATAAAGTAGCACCGTGTGGAAAAAAAACATAAATAAATCCACTCTCAGCCCAAAATGGTCCTGAGCATGCGTCCATGGTTCTGTCCAGGAGGCCATGGTTCTGTCTGCGCATCCATTGTTCTGTCCACAAGTCTAAGGTTCTGTCCGTGCATCTAAGGTTCTGTCCGCGCGTCTATGGTTCTGTCCATGCGCGTCTTTATGGTTCTGTCAACGCGACTATGGTCCGCGATCAGTACAATGTTATGGATGTGCGAGCGCTGAGCTGTTTTCAAAGCGGCTGTCCATACAAAGTGGAGGATGTGAATCCTGTAAAAAAAATGGCATATATCCTTTTCAAAAACGTCTCAATCACTTTCACTTCGCACTCGCCATAATGCTCCTCGCTACCTCCCTTTGGTGGTCACGTCCAATTCTAACGTTTCTCGCCACAATGCTCCCGCTAAGTGTTACCTCCTCTGGTAGCATCCAATTCCTACGTTTCAAAGTACTTAGGCTGTCCTTAGGCTGCCACCAACTGATATGAAAAAGTATTACGTGGTTACTCCACAGTTCAAAACAAGTCAGCACTCGGCCAACGGTGGATGCGTTTATTTTTAGACAAAGAAGGCGAATTTCTCATGGCATATCATACGGCACACTAGTGTGCGGCTCAGTGGTTGAAATACACTGCCATAGACTTTGAAATTTCTAGGGGGCAACATAAAGTCTGCCAAATAGAGTCAGCAAAATAGAGTCGGAGAAAAAGAGTCTGCAAAATAGAGTCGGCGAAATAGAGACGCCGATAAAGAGTCAGCAATATACCGTCAGCGATATAGAGCTGGCGTATGACGGATGGTCTTGGGACGTTGATTTTATAAAAATTTTTGCCAAACCGGTCGCATTAGATTTTAGTCAGCTGCAGATATGACTTGACCCCAAAGAAATTCTAACAAAAGGTTTTTCAGTGGTTCACAGTAGAGTCAGATGTATTTAAAAACATATTAGAAGTTTACCAAAGTTTGACTCAAAAAAAAAAGCCCCATTTTCAAAATGGCGGCCATCGGGTCCTTAAAATGATCATTATTCCTTTGTATTTCTCCTAGACCAGGAATACTGGTGTCTGATATCGGTTTTGGTCATATAATATTCTAATTAGTATATTTGCATGAAAAATAAGTGATTACAAGTACAATTATATATTAACGCAATTGGTTATAAGCATATGTATGCGAAAAAGAAGTAACATTTTCATATTTCTCTTTTATCATATGTTTTTCCTAGCGTTGGTGGTTTCTGTGGTTCATAACCATTATTTTGATTCCAATAAAGAATAAATTCATTAGAACCATGTGGCACTGTGAAATTAGACAAAACAGGGCTAAGGCGTGAAGGCTCAGTACCGCAAACCCCTTGTGTTTTTTTATTTATTTTATTAATTTTATAATGTGTTTTGTTTAGTTTTTCATATTTCTTTATTATTTTCTTATTTATACATATCTTTGCAGTTGTGGTAAGTTTGCACCTGACAGACGACATCAGCATATAGATGAGTCTGGCAATGACTACACACTTGGGGTAGGTCATTGATGAAGATAGAAAATAAGAGGTCCAAGGGTTGAGCCCTGTGGTACACCTTTTTCCATGCTAGACAGACCAGTTTGAGAACCATTAAAAACGACAAACTGTCGTCTATTGTGAAGATAAGCATTGAACCGAGAG